GGAGTGATCATCATCAGCAGCACTGCGCCTGCAATCACACCCGAAGCAATCATCATCATCAGCAGCAGCCATGATAAATCCACTGCTGGATGAATGCCTCCCCACGCTGCCGCCGTCACCTCTCGAGATGACGCGGTGAAATAATCCGCCCAGCACCTGCACACACGAACTCATTGACAATCATGCTGCTGATGATGCTGATGATACTGCTGCTGATGATGACGATGCCGCTGCTGCTGCTGATGTCGCGAGCCATGCGAACACGCGCGGTGTCTCAGCCCCGGTGCCTCTGGGCTCCGTTGGGTGCCGGCGAGTAGCGAGGTTTATCGGCCACCACCTCGGACGAAGCGAAGGACGCGTGGGCCCTTGACGTGGTCACGTGTCTGAATGCGTAGGCGCGGTGCCTTTGCAGCGTGGCGGGGGGGGGGGGGGGGGCTCATCGTAAAAAGGGGGGGGGGGCTCATCGTAAAGAGGGGGGGCTCATTGTAAAGAGGGGGGGGGTTTATGTGTGGGGGAGCGGTGGGGTAGCGGTTAGTGCGCTGCGATACGAATCCGGCGTGTGCCGTTTCCGGCCGTCATAGGTGCTCGCTAACAGCACTTGCCCCAAAAGTATCCTCATCATCCTCATCAACCTCATCATCCTCATCAACCTCATCATCCTCATCATCGTCATCATCATCATCGTCATCATCATCATCCTCATCATCACCCTCATCATCCTCATCAACCTCATCATCATCATCAACCTCATCATCATCATCTTCATCATCCTCATCATCCTCATCATCCTCATCATCATCGTCATCATCATCATCGTCATCATCATCATCATCCTCATCATCCTCATCAACCTCATCAACCTCATCATCATCATCAACCTCATCATCATCATCATCGTCATCATCATCATCCTCATCATCCTCATCATCCTCATCATCATCGTCTACAGAGCGATGCGAGTGCGCACAGGCAACCTGAGTTTGATTCCCGCTCAAAGCCAACATCAGTGACGAGTATGCGAACTGGTCCCGTGCCTCCGCTAGGTCGACTCAGCCTTAAATTGGTACCTGCTTCAGTGTGTATTCACCGACAGCAGTGGGGAGACAAAGGCGGCTGGGAGTGGTTTTTCAGCGCACACCCAACTCCTCCTGTCGCGACGCGCGTCGCCACCGAACATGCCCTCGCTGGCAGCTCTTGCTCCGACAGCCCATTAACTCTGTCGGGGGGTGACCTGTCTCTGTCTTTGTGCGAGTGCGAAGAGGGGGGGTGGTGGTGAATGGCGTGGCCGTGTCTGAGTGGCGGTGAGCGGCGAGGTTTGGAGTGTCATGCGGGAGGCCACGATGTGTCTGCGGTGTCTTCCGCGGTGCGCTACGAACTCGGCCACCCGAGTTCGATTCCTGCTCACGGCCCAACATCGGTGACGGGAATGTTGGGGATCGGTCCTGGGCCTCCCCTAGGTCGACTCAGCCTCAAATGAGTATCTGTTGGGGTGCGTGTGTGTGTGTGTGGAGCGGTGGCGTAGTGGTTAGCACGAGTTCAATTCCCTCTCACGACCAACAACAGTGTTGAATGTATGAACTCGTCCAGGTCGACTTAGCCTCAAATGAGTACCTGGTGCGGTGTGTAAAAACATCGCCACTGGGGAGACAAAGGCGGCCGGGCATGGTGCTGTCCACCCATCCCCTGGTGTACCGTCCCAGCCTTCACAGGTGCTCGCTAACAGCACTCGCCCCAACAGTCTGTGAAGGCGATGATGGAGAATCTTAGCTTTGCATGAGCCAGTGGTGTAGCCGCCTCTCTGTGCGCATCTGAGAGCGGCGAGGCTCGATCTGTCTGTGTGTGTGTGTACGTTGCGGCTAATTCCCTCTCTCCCTGTGAATGTTGTGGCCGGCCCTGTCTCTGTACGCAGGAGGAAGTTGTGCCGGAGAGACTTGCTTCAACACGCCCGCCACTGCCCCCTGAGTGTGTGCTCGCCTCTTCTTAAGTGCGTAACTCAAGACCTCCCCTGTGCCTCCTCCTCCCTCCCTCTTCACGTCCATCCCCTCCACACACACCCCAACCCTAACTTCTTCCCCGAATCTCCCCAGTATTCAGTGCGCGTTCAGTCCGTTACAGGCGGGAGGAGTTCGGGGTGCGTGTGTCGGGCGTGGTGCTGGCCACATCGCTCCCGTGTGTACAGTTGCGGCCTGCATAGGTGCTCGCTAACAGCACTTGCCCTGACGGACCAGTGTGTTAAGTCTCTTGCGGGGTATTTTTGTCTTTCTGTGTGTGCCTGTTGTTCGGGGTGAGTTGCTGTGTGTGGGAGTGTGTGTGTGTTTAGGGTACGTTTGATCTGTGCTCGAGTAAAGGTAGGTCTATGTGCGTGTGTTTGTTGACAGGGAGCGGTGGCACAGTGGTTAGCGCACTGCTCTACGAAGCTCGGCCAATCGAGTTCAATTCTCGGCTACGGACAACATCAGTGGCGAGTGACTCGGCCTTAAACGAGCAGATTGTGCGGTGTGTGTAAACATCGCCGCTGGGGAGACAAAGGCGGTCGGGCGTGGCGCTGGCCACCCACCCCCTCGTGCGTCGAGCTGGCTTTATGTAGGTGCTCGCTAACAGCACTTGCCTTCGACAGTCGATGCAGGCTACACGATTGATCGTTGTCTTTGTATTGATCGTGGCCATAGTGAAGAGTGATTTCACGTGTGCGTATTGGGCGTGAATGTTTGTGTTGGGAGTGTGTATCTTGGCCACTGCGCGTATTGTGTGTTTGTGTGTTTTGGTGCGAGCCTTGGGGTGTGTCTATGTATGTGTGTAAGTAAATAACTCGGTTTTATCTAGCGCCATTCACACAAGGCATCCCCGTGTGTGTAATGTGTGTGAGTGGTGTGTCTGTGTGTGGTGTGTGCGGTGGTGGGTGTGAGTAGTGTGTGATTGGTAGGGGGGCGTTGGTGGGGTGGGGAGTGGTAGTGTAGCAGTTAGCGTGCTGTACCATGAACCCGGCGACCCGAGTTCGATTTCCGCTCACGGCCAACATCAGTGGCCATTATCTGGACCGGTCCTGGGCCTCCCCTAGGTCGACTTAGCCCCAAATGACTACCTGGTGCGGTGTTTAAACATTGCCTCTGGGAGACAAAGGCGGTCGGGCGTGGTGCTGGCCACCCACCCCCCTCGTGTGCCGTGCCGGCCTTCGTAGGTGCTCGCTAACAGCACTTGCCTCAATAGTCTGTTAAAGTTATACGGGGGATTTTTGTCTTCGGTGTGTGTGAGTGGTGGGTTGTTGTGTACGTGCGTTTTGGTGCGCGTGTCGGGAGGGGTGTAATCACAACTTTTGGCGATGAATCACGCATCGTCATCATCCTCATCGTCCTCATCATCAACAGCGAAGACCAACACGACCGCGGAGCTGGACGAGTTAAGGTGCCTCCCCGTCTCCCATCTCCTCTTCCTCTTTGATCACGTGTGTGGGGGGGGGGCACCCTCAACAAGTCGTGACCCTCACCTCCCCGTGTCCCCACGTCTCCTCCTCCGTGTCCCCACGTCTCATCCCTGCGTCTCCTAAGTGTCCCCGCTTCTCCCTCACCTGTCTGCATCCCCTCCATGTCCCCCACGTCTCCTCCGTGTCTCCTCCGTGTCTCCTCCGTGTCCCCTCCGTGTCCCCGCGTCTCCCTCACCTGCCCGCGCCGTCCTCCGTGTCGCAGGCTCCTGGCGGAGGTGAGCGTCGTGCGGGGGGGGGAGGCGCGGTGGAACCCGGGGGTGACCTCCGCGGCGGACCCCGTCTCGCGCCCCGTGGTCCCGCTCTGGGTGACCCCGCACGCCCGAGGGATTCGCGTCACCGCCCGCGCCCACTCGGGCCGCCACGTGCTGGACTCGCACCTGGACGCGGCAGGTGAGGGCGACCCGGCCGCTCTGGGTGGAAGCTCGCGCGGTGGGTTAGAAGTGTGTGGTTAGTGGCAGGGCTAGAACTAGTGGCTGGTTAGTGGTTTGCGCCCCCCACGAACCGCTCGCCCCCCCCTCCCCACGAGGGGCTTCTCGCCATCACTCGGCAATCTCAAGCGCCACCCACTCCACCGGTGACTCTGTGACTCTGTGACCCCCAACTCGTATGCCCCCCCCTCCCCCCCCCGCGTAGAGTGTGGACGAGTGGAGAGGAGGGGTGGGAGCTGCGTGGAGTGGGTGGGGGAGCGGGGGGAAGGGTGGAGACTGCGATTCCTCACCGAGACCGACGCAGACAGACTGCTGGGCTTCCTCGAGGTGAGTGGGTGGGTGAGTAAGTGAGTGGGTGGGTCAGTGGGTGGGTGGGTGAGTGGCTCAATATGTGAGCGAGCGAGTGACCGAGTGAGCGACTGAGCGAGTGAGCGAGTGACCGAGTGAGCGACCGAGCGAGTGACCGAGTGAGCGACCAAGCGAGTGACCGAGTGAGCGAGTGAGTGAGCGAGTGAGTGAGCGAGTGAGCGAGCGAGTGAGTGAGTATCCATGTACTCGTGTGTAAATTTGCCTGCCTGGGCTAGTGGGCACAGTACCAGTGCTCACTGTGGTGCACTGCTTACTCTGGCCCTCAGGTCGCCATGGGGAACACAGGGAGCCGCTACGACCAGCACTACCACAACAACAACAACCACAACAACAACAACCACGACAATGGCAGCGCCAGCGGAAGCAGCGGCGGCGGCGCTGGCGGTGGCGGCGCCAGCAAGGGCCGCGCTGCCGGGCACCGGCTCCGGGCCTCGGGCCGGGCGGGCGATGCGCGGGGCCACTCGCGGCATCACCCGCAGCACCAGCGCACAACGGCGGCCGCCGCCGCCACCGGCCCCGCTCACGCGCCACCCTGGGCCACGTGGAGCCCGCAGAGCGCCGGTCACCCGGCCGCGATCTCGAGCGGCGGCGGATACTGGACGCTGGGGCGCTGGCGCCGGAGCGGCAGGCAGAAGCCGGCGCCGTGGGGCGCGGGGGGGGCCGCGGCGGGGGGCTGCCCGGTGCCGGCGGGAGGGACGCCCGACGTGGAGATGGAGGAGGAGCCCGACGGCTCGCACGTCGTCATCAAGGCCGCGTCGCTGGCGCGCGGCGTCTCGGTCGAGTTCCGCAAGCGCTGCCGCCAGGAGTCGGTGGACACGACGGCGTCGCAGCCCTCGCGCGGCGCCGCCGGCGGGGCGCCGCCGAGCCACGCCGCCAAGTCGCTGCGCGTCGACCGCGACGAGGAGGGCCGTCCGCCCTCGCCAGAGGACATGACCTTCGAGCCGGCGTGGGGTCGCGAGGTCGCGGCCGCGGCGGAGGACGGGCGGGAAGCCGAACGGCGCTCGCCGCCGACGCCGGAGCCGGGTTTGCCGGGAGGCCGCGGCGAGCCCCCCGGGATCCCGGGAGGTCCCCGCGCCGGCTGGTCCCAGACGCTGCCATGCCGCAAGCTCAGGAAGTCGGCGACGCGCCCCACGCCAGCGGCAGACGAGGAGGAGGAGCTGACGCGGCCGTGGGCGGCCAGGGAGACGCAACGCCCTGCGTTCCTGTCGGGCAGCCTGCCGAGGAGGAGGCTCGGGCCCTGCCAGGTACCAGCCTGACCCCGACCCTTCAAACTCTGACCCCTGCCCCAACCTGGAACAACTGTTTGCTCGACCGGTGGAGACCGACGTTCGTTTTCCACCCCGACAGGCAATGGCGCAGGGCAGGGCCAGGCAGGAGGGCAGCGACAGCGGCATCGACCTGCCCTCGCACCGCTCCAGCCTGGAGGCCCCCTGGGGGGGGCGGGCGGCGCCGGGCGGCGCGGGAGAGGCGGGGGCGGTGGCGGGGGGGGCCCGTGCGGAGGGGCTGGGCCACGCGGGGCCCCCCGTGGACAGCGACAGCAGCGGCGGGAGCAGCAGCAGCGGCGGTGGCGGCGACGGCGGCGGCAGCTACCGCTGCGGTTCGAGGTGAGCCGCGGTGGTGGGGTCAGGCCCGGAGTCGTGGAGAGACACGGAGTGGGGGGGGGGATCAATGAAAGCAACGGCGATGTTCTTGTGCCGGTTGCGTTCGTGCAGAAATACCGCCCTCGGTCGCTCCTCTCTCTGCAACCCCGACGAAGGTCATAGGTCACCGATTGTTTCCAGATGTCGTCCACTCCACGTATAAATCCAGACACGGGCATCCACATCGTCCTTCCGTCTCTCCGTCCGTCCGTCCTCGCTGCCCGCAGGTGCGGCCGGAGCAAGCGAGACGAGGGGTCCTCTCCCGGGGCCCCGCGAGATGGGGGTCCCCGCCTGGACCCCTCGTGGATCGGCCCGGAACCCCACGGGGGCTCAATGGGGGACTGCGCGGAGCTGGACGGGGGCGACGACTCCTCCTCGCTCTCCCTCGCCAGGTGAGCGACGCTCCTCGCCTCTCCTCCTCCTCCAAATCGCAACAATCGGCCCCCCCCCACCCGCTCAGCCGCGAATACTCGGCAGGACCCTCCTGAGAAAGAATCTTCGGACGCAGCGAGGCTTTCCTAGGTAAGCACGTGTAATGATAACAATGAATGTATTTGTGTAAGTTGAGCCACCGCCATGGTTTCTCGTTTACTCCGCCGAGCCTCCCACGCAAGGCTCCGACGCTGCTTAGCTTTCAGTATGTGTGCGGGTTGTCCCGCGTTCTCCCGGTCGACTCGGCCGTGAGCGAGTAGCCGGTGCGGCGCATATTAACCGGTGGCGCTGGGGAGACACGGGCGGGTGGGGGGGTGCGTTTTTTTTTTTTTTTTCCCGGCCCCACGGTGGGGAAGGGGCGGCTGATCGATGTCTTTGTTGCAGCGACGGGGCGGCCGGCACGGCCCGTGAGGCCACCGCGGTGCGCCGCACCGGCTGGCTGTGGGCCAAGCGCTGGCTGGTGCGCGGCAAGGCGCAGCGCGTGCAGCTCAGTCCCCGCAGGAAGTGGCGCCGGTGCTGGGCGGCGCTCAGGGGTGAGCGCCGGCACACACCCTGCACACTCACCCAGCCACTCACCCTGCCACTCACCCTGCCACTCACCCAGCCACTCACCCAGCCACTCACCCAGCACCCTGCCACTCACACTGCACACTCACTTGACCACTCACCCTGCCACTCACCCTGCCACTCACCTGGCCACTCACCCTGCCACTCACCTGGCTACTCACCCTGCACACTCACCTGGCCACTCACCCGACCACTCACACTGCCACTCACCCTGCCACTCACCCTGCCACTCACCTGGCCACTCACCCTGCACACTCACCTGGCCACTCACCCGACCACTCACACTGCCACTCACCCTGCCACTCACCCTGCCACTCACCTGGCCACTCACCCTGCCACTCACACTGCCACTCACCCTGCCACTCACCCTGCCACTCACCTGGCCACTCACCCGACCACTCACACTGCACACTCTCTCAACCACTCACCCTGCACCCTGCCACTTACCCTGCACACTCACTCAGCCACCCACCCTGCACACTCACCCTGCAACTTACTCAGCCACCCACCCTGCCACTCACCCAACCACTCACCCTGCCACTCACCCTGCACACTCACTCAGCCACTCACCCTGCACTCTCACCCTATACCCTCACCCTGCAACTCACCCTGCCCCTCACCCGACCACTCACCCTGCACCCTCACCCTGCCACCCACCCAATACCCTCACCCTGCATCCTATACCCTCACCCCACTATTACGCAGAGGTGCGGTGGTCTGGGTTCGGCCGTGTTTTAAGAATTCCTTCTCTCGAGCTCTCACCCTCTTGTGTCTCTGTGTGTGCGTCTCTGTGCGTGCATCTCTCTCTCTCCGCAGGCTGCACGCTGCTGCTCTACGATTCAGTCGGGGGGGGTGCCACCACCTCCCCTGGCGAGGGGGGTCCCTGCGAGGTGGGGGGGGCGTGCGAGGCGGGCCCCCCGGGAGGGGACGAGGTGCAGGAGGCCGTGTCGGCCCTGGGGGCCCTGGTGCAGGCCGTGCCCGAGCACCCGCGGCGCGAGCACGTCTTCTGCCTCAGCAACAGCCGGGGGGAGGCCTTCCTGCTCCAGGTGGGGGGGGGGGGGGGGGGGCCGGGGGGGCGCCGGGGGGGGCGCCGAGGGGGCACGGCACCCTCCACTTAGATCCGCCACTGACACGTGTCTGTGTGTGCGTCTGTTTGTGTGTGCGTGTTTGTTGTTTCTGTGTGAGTGTCTGTATGTGTGTGTGTGTCTGTGTGTTTTTGCGTGTGTCTGTGCGCGTGTGTCTGTGTGTGTGCGTGTGTTTGTCTGTGCGTGTGTCTGTGTGTGTCTGTGTGTGTGTCTGTATGTGTGCGTGTGTGTCTGTGTGTATGTCTGTATGTGTGCGCGTGTGTCTGTGCGTGTGTCTGTGCGTGTGTCTGTGTGTGTGTGTGTCTACCTCCTCGCGGTGCCGGACGGGCAACACTGTCGTGGACATTGCTGTGGGGGGAGGGCCAATGCCCATTGGCCTCTCCCCTCATGGCGTCTGTGACCACCACAGTGGCTAAACGGGGGCTCTGGACGGGTGTGAGGGGCTGGTAACCCCTCCACCTTCAATTCATTACCACTAAACCACGAATTAAACATAAACCTGTAACAAATAAGCTTGTGCCGGAGGCCCCGGGGGGTCAGGCTTTTATGACGTCTCCTGGCCAAACCCCATTTGGCGGAGCCAGGAGATTGAATTTTCACCCTCGGGGCTCCTCCAGAAACAACAAAAAACCATTGCGGATGGCCACGTGGAATGTTCGAACGCTCACTGCGGAGGAGAGGCTGCCACTCCTCTGTCGGGAGCTGGACCGGTACCGCCTGGATCTCTGTGGCATTCAGGAGGTCCGGTGGACCGGTTCTGGCTCCTGCCACCATGAGGGGTGGACAGTCCTCTACTCGGGGCAGGAGACTGCCAAACAACAGGGTGTGGCTCTTCTTCTGAACAAAAGAATGAAGGGGGCGTGGGAGCGTGGCGGTGAGGTGTGGGAAGCTGTAAGCCCCAGGATACTTTGGGCTCGCCTTCCCATCAACCAGAGGCGAGGAGTGGTGGTCGTGGTTACTTATGCCCCCACCGAAGACGAACATCCGTGGAGGGATGCAAGCAAAGCCGATGAGTCAGACGCTTTCTATGACCTCCTGTCACAGGTGCTGGCTAAAGTGGCCACTCGGGACAGAGTCATCTTGTTGGGTGACTTCAATGCCCGAGTTGGTCATGATGCTGACACCTGGTCTGGAGTGATTGGAAGGCATGGGCCAGATCAGCTCAATAATAACGGTAGGAGGCTGCTAGATTTTTGTGCAGCCCATGGGCTTGTAATTACCAACACGCTCTTCCGGCATCGGCGCATCCACACAACATCATGGATACATGCCGGGTCCAAGCAAGAACATCTGCTGGACTACATAGTGACGGACCAGCGGATGCGAACCCATGTCCTTGACACCAGGACCTACCGTGGAGCTGATCTGTCCTCTGACCATCGACTAGTCATCTGTAAGATGCGCCTGCCTTTCTTCCACTCCGGTGGTGGGTGTACACCCAGGATCCCATTCCAACCAAAAGTGGCCTGGTCTCAGTTAGCTGATGAAAGTTGCAAGCGAGAATTTCATCATCGCTTGCAGCTGGGGTTGGCATCGTCCCCCACTCCACCTGATGTCGAGGGTAAATGGGCGAGGTTTAAGACTGTGACTCATGCAGCTGCAATGGCTGCTTTGGGTACGCGGTCCAGACCTCCCCAGAAACCCTGGCTGACAGAGGAGGTGTTCAGGTTAATTGAGAAAAAGCGACAGGCCCACTCTCATCGCCTACAGCATCCCACGTCAGAGAATGAGGAGGTTTACCGCAGCCTTCGCTCGGAAGTTCGGAGAGCCGTAAGGCGTTGTAAGGATGGGTGGTGGTCGCGGGTTGCTGAGGAGATGGAGTCTGCCTCAGTGGCCCGTGATCACAAATCACTATTTAACTCCATCAAAAAAGTAACCTGCAGCGCCACACCTATTACCATCATTAGAGGAAAAAACGGTGATCCAATCTCCGACCCCCAGGAACAGGTTTGCAGATTTTCTGAGCATTTCTGTGAGGTCCTGGGGGAGGGAAATTCTCTCAGCCAGGAAAACATCATGGCACAAAGTGGGGATAACCCTGCTGAGGCTGCGGTGCCTCAAATATTGGAAGAGGTCACCCCCTGTGAGTGGCTGGCTGAGGTTCCAGCTGTTGAGGAAGTACTGAGGGCGATCCGGAGTCTGAGACCAGGGAAGGCACCGGGCAGAGATGATCTCCCAAGCGAAATGCTGAGGGAGGGTGGCGTTTGTGCACAGACTGCCCTATATGACATCATAACAACAGTCTGGACCACTGGACGGGTTCCGCAGGACTGGAAGGATGCCCTGGTGGTCCCCCTCTTTAAGAAGGGGGACCGCACAGACTGTAACAACTACAGGGGCATCTCACTCCTCAGTGTGCCGGGTAAGGTCCTGGCAAGGATTATTCAACATCGCCTTGCTAGGCACGCTGAGGAGGGGCTTGCGGAGCCCCAATGCGGTTTCAGGAAAGGGCGGTCCTGCACAGATGCCATATTTTCTGTCCGTCTGCTACAGCAGAGGTGTAGGGAATTCCAAAAAGACCTACATCTCTGCTTTATTGACCTGGTCAAGGCCTATGATACCATCAGTAGGACTGGACTCTGGGTTGTTCTTCGTGCTTTCGGAGTCCCTGACCCTCTGCTCACGATCATTAAGGACCTTCATGATGGTGAGCGGGCCCGGGTAAAACTACGTGGCCGGGAGTCGGAGCCTTTCCCTGTACACCTTGGGGTGCGACAGGGATGTCCTCTGGCTCCCACATTATTTAACATCTATTTTGACCGCGTAGTTCGTGAAGCCTTCAATAGCTGTACCGGGGGAATTTCCGTTTGGTACAGATATAATGGGAGGCTGATCGACGCCCGGGTGCGATCAAGGGATGGCTCCCTATTGGTCAACCACGTTATGTATGCCGATGATTTGGTAATAGCTGCTCATTCAGAAGAGGAGTTGGAGGCGCTGCTGCTGAGACTGGAGCGTGCCACTAAGAGGTGGGGCCTTACCATCAGCCCCACCAAAACCAAGCACCTGCCTGGGTATTTTGTACCATCGGACACTCCACCCCCACAACTCCCAATTGGTGATGGGGCAGTTGTGGAGAGAGTGGAGAGTTTCCCATACCTGGGCAGTATGCTTATGACCGGCTCCAGTCTATCAGCAGAGGTCTCACTCCGAATCAGTCGAGCGGCAATATCTTTTCATCGGTTGCGTAACGCTGTGTGGAAGCTACCTGGTCTGTCGCTCCGCACGAAGCTTCAGGTCTTCTCGGCCACGGTCATTCCCTCCCTTCTCTACGCTTGCGAGACGTGGACCCCCCTGGTGGAGCATCTTCGCCGGTTGGAAACATTTAGGCTGGCCTGCCTACGATCCATCCTGGGTTTAACCAGGCTGGATTGTGTGAGGAGCTCACAAATCCTTGAAAGATCTGGGCAAAGTCCCATCAGTGAGCTCCTCCGGCAGGCAAGGCTGCGTTGGCTGGGTCATGTAGCCCGCATGCCCAGCCACCGCATGCCTAAACAGCTTTTGTTCGGCCGGATCGAGGGGGCTAGACGGGCGCGGCACGGGCTGGAGAAGAGATGGAGTGATGTGGTACAGGAGGACGTGGAGCTGAGTGGACTTGCCGATGACTGGTACCAGCGGTGTCAAGATCGGCCTCAGTGGAGGAGGCTCGTGAAGGACGCTACTGGGCAGTTGGAGGCAGTCGCCCTCCAACAACAACGGAGGGCGGAGGAGCGACGCTCACAACAACGAGCGGAGCGCCGGGTGGCTAAAGCACAGCAAGTTGGCACAGTAGGAGGCACAGGTGGTGCATCAGCCAGTCATCTCGGTCATCTCGGTCAGTCGACCAGTGGCACCTGGGTCTGCCCCGTGACCTCCTGCCAGCGGGCTTTCGACACTTCACGTGGCCTCAAGGTGCACTTGGCCTGGCACAAGCATCGTGGTGACGTCACCGCCACTTAGTGGCGAATGGCGGTTGTTGTTGTTGTTGTTGTGCGCGGGTGTCTGTGGGGAATGGTAGTGTCTTAGCGATTAGCACTCCACGCTACGAAACCGGTGGCCCGAGTCCGATTCCCGCTCACGCCCTACGCCAGTGACGATTATACTATCTGAACCGGCCCTGGGCCTCCGCTAGGTCGACTCAGCCGCAAACGAGTACCCGGTGCTGTGTGTAAACATCGCCACTGGGGAGACAAAGGCGGCCGGGCAGCGGTGGTGCCGGCCACCCAACCCGCCGTGCGCCCCGCCGTCCTTCGCAGGTGCTGCTCGCTAACAGCACTCGCCCCGACACTCCGTCAAGCCTACACGGGGGACCTTTGTCTTTGTTGCGGCGGGGGGGGGCGCAGGCCGGCAGTCAATCGGAGCTGGAGAACTGGGCGACGGCCGTGCACTCGGCCTGCGCGGCCCGCGAGGTGCGCGGGTGGTGGGGGGGCGGCACGGCGGCCGTCGGGGAGGAGAGCCGGTGCGGCCGGCCCCGCCGGGGGCCCGGGGGGCCGGGGGGCGGCGTCGTGCCACAGCTGGAGGCGGCGGTGCGGCGGCTGGCCGAGCGCGCCGACCTGGACGCCAAGATGCACAAGATGGCCGAGCTGCAGGCGGCCGCCACCACCGACGCACGCAGCCGGCGCGCCATCGCCGAGCAGGTGGGGGGGGGGGGGGTGCCTGGTGGGGGAGGGCTGGTGCCTGGTGGGGGAGGGGGGTGGGTGCCAGGTGGGGGGGGGGGCGGGTGTCAGGTGGGGGGGGGGCTGGTGTCAGGTGGGGGGGGGGCGGGTGCCAGGTGGGGGGGTAGCTGGTGTCAGGTGGGGGGGGGGGGCTGGTGTCAGGTGGGGGGGGGGGGGGGCGGGTGCCAGGTGGGGGGGGGGGCTGGTGTCAGGTGGGGGGGGGGCTGGTGTCAGGTGGGGGGGGGGGGCTGGTGTCAGGTGGGGGGGGGGGGGGCTGGTGCCAGGTGGGGGGCTACTAAGATGAGTGAGGGCAAGTCTGACAGGGCGCCAGGGCCCATTGCGTTGGGAGGGGGGCTGGTGCTAGGAACGGCGATGCTGCTTTCTATCATCACATCATTACATCATCATCACATCATCACACCGCCTCCCTTGCACTCGAGAAGCCGGCGTCGCTCGGCACGCCTGACTCGACATTCAACCCCCCACCCTCCTGCCCCCCTACCCCCGTGCCCCCCAGATCCGCCAGTGGGAGCTGAACGTGGAGAGCGTCCACGTGCGTCTCTTCCGCTACCGCTGCTACGCGGCGAGCCTGCGCGGCGGGGAGCCCCCCAACCCCAAGGGGCTCCTCTCGGTGACCAGCCGGCTCACCAAGGCCGGCCTGGCGCGCCTCGGAGCCTTCACCGCCTCCTCCCTGCACGCCACCGTGAGCCCAGCTGTCAGAACTACCAGCCACCCGTGTCTCCGTGTCTCGCTGCGTGTCACTGCGCCGCCGTGTCTCCTTGTCTCTGTGTGTCCATGTTTCAGTGTCTCACTGCACCCATTATGCCTCTGTGTCTCCGTGTGTCCGTGTCTCCGTGTCTCACTGCGCTGCTGTCTCCGTGTCTCCGTGTCTCACTGCGCCCGTTATGCCTCTGTGTCTCCGTGTGTCACTGAGTCACCATGTCTCACTTCGCCCGTTATGCCTCTGTGTCTCCGTGTGTCCGTGTCTCCGTGTCTCACTGCGCCCGTTATGCCTCTGTGTCTCCGTGTGTCACTGAGCCACCGTGTCTCACTGCGCTGCTGTGTCTCCGTGTCTCCGTGTCTCACTGCGCTGCTGTGTCTCCGTGTCTCCGTGTTTCACTGCGCCCGTTATGCCTCTGTGTCTCCGTGTGTCGCTGAGCCACCGTGTCTCACTGCACCGCCATGTCTTCATGTCTCCATGTCTCCGTGTCTCCGTGTGTCCGCCAGGTGTGTGCTCGGGACGACTTCTCGGTGCGCGACCGCTCGCTGTCGCTCCCCCGCGGCGACTCGCGGCGCCGCGGCCTCATCTCGGCCCTGCTGGGCCCCGAGCGCGTCCGACTCTCCCCCGCCGAGGTCAGGGCCCTAGCGAGCGAGCTCAGCGGGGGTTCGGCGCTTGCACGGGAGCACGCCCGCCGCTCAGCGGACGGAGCGGCGGTGAAAGCGGCCCCGTGTGGTTCAGGTGGTCTGGGGCGGATCGTTAACGTAGCGGGATCGTGAGAAGCGTCGGTGGCTTCGGGGAGGAGGCCTTCATCCAGCAGTGGATTGTCCGTGGCTGACGATGATGATGGCCAGAGCACTTGAGTTGCACGGCGGTAGGCGGTACAGGAGACAGCGGTGCCGTTGCGCATTCTTAAACCCATCTGTGCGGCGTTCTGAGCGTCCACCCCCTCGCGTACACGGCTGGGTTTTCCCCGGTCCGCCTCCTCCAACGCGAAGCCGAAGCGCTCGTCGCTCGCGGTCTTCACGGCCTAGACATCCCCCAATGTGCGGTGGCAGCACCCTCCTCGCGATGAGTCTTGAGGGTCGGCGAGGCTTCCCCCGCGCGCACACACACACAGGGCGCTTCCGGCGGCCCGCTCCGCGCGTACACAACGGTCGTGTTGGGTGACGCGTCTCTCTTGCGCCCGGCGCGCCAGGCCGCGGGAGGGAGTGCGTCCGCGGACGTGGGAGCTGCCGCCCCTGTCCCCGACAGCGGCTTCGCCCTTCTTGGAGATCCTCAGCGAGCCGGTGAGCCGCAAGAGAGACTAAGAGCTGCCGAGAATCGGATTCTCCCATGAAGCTATGAAGCATTTTTACCCACAGATGTACAGTCGAACACTTGCACATGAACACTCACTCAGCTGATGACAGCCAGTAAACATGAACTACATCTTAACACACACAAAGACACAGATCCCCTGCATAGCATTAACAGACCGTTTGGGGCAATTCCTGTTAGTGTGAAGGCCGGCATGGCACACGAGGGGGTCGGTGGCCAGCACCACGCCCGGCCGCCTTTATCTCCCCAGTGGCGATGTTTACACACCGTGCCAGGTACTCATTTGAGGCTGAGTCGACCTAGGGGAGGCCCAGGACCGGTTCAGATAATCGTCACCGGGTGTTGGCCGTGAGCGGGAATAGAAACTCGGGTCGCCAGGTTCGTAGTGCAGCGTAGCGCTGACTGCTACACTATCACTCCCACACAAAGAACCCCCCCTCCCCACACACACGTGTGCATGTGTGTGCATGTACACACACGTGTACAAGCTCACACGTGTGTGTATTTGTACACACGCGCGCGTGCCTTGATCGCTCACCAGGGGGCAGTAACGAGTCATCCTCCCCCGGCGTTCACAATGACTGACGATGGCCACGTGACTGGGTGACGATGGCCACGTGCGTGATGATGGCCACGTGACTGACGATGGTCACGTGGGTGACGATGGCCACGTGGGTGACGATGGCGAGGAGCCTGAACACAGCACGCGGAGTGGGGGGCAGCATCGCAAGCTGCAAATGCTCCCAGCCTTATCCAAACCACCATCCTCAATGGAACTGAACATATGCCGTTTTGTCCTCAATTTGTTACATCTACCCGGCGAATACAGCCGTTACATCTATTCATCACGTCTATTCATTGAATAATTTGTTACATCTATACGTTGAATCCATTCATTCAATCTTATTGAATATATTCATTGATGATATTCGTTGTGTCTATTAATCAAATATATACATTATATATAATTTACATCTGTTCGTTTAATCTACTAATTTCCAGTGTGTTTCTGTTTTGCCGTCATTTACAGAGTTGCATGACGATGGGTGATGAAAGGTGTAGATGACGATGAGATTATCGGTGGTGATGATGATGGAGGCATTACAGACGATGAGTGATGATGGTATCGTTGATGATAATGATGTTGGTAATTATGATGGTGGTGATGGGTGTGCCGACTGGTGCAGGGTTTCCTGATGGAGGACATGAGGGCGTGGAGGAGGTGGAGGCGGTGGAGGAGGTGGAGCTTGTTCCAGAGGCCCAGGCAATGACGAAGCCACAGGACGACGTGGGGCCCCCACCTCCGGTGTGTGGATGTTCCCCCTTTCCCCCTCACCCCCTTGCCCATGTGTCCCTCTGCCTCCATATCCTCTACGTCCCTACGTCTCCATTTCCCTTCGTCCCCATGTTTCCATGTCGCGATGCCTCCGCGTCCCGACGCCCCTTGTACCCCAAGTCCTCGTGCCAAGTTCAGTCCGTCACTTCATCCCGTATCCGAGGGCAACGCCTGCACTGTTGAGATTATCGCCACGGCGATTAACGGGGGGCGGCGGGGGGTGATGTGCTCGTGGGTCCTCCCCAATCCCCCCGATCCCCCCCCCCCCCCGTTCCTGTGATCCGGGATTAGCACATCGCCGGAGGCCACTGGCGCAATTAGAGAGCCGCCGCGCTCGTTAAGACTCGGCCCGGGCTCTAGACAGAATCCACCGCGGCGCCGCACGGAAGCGACGGGCGACTCCGGCGATGGGGAGACGCGGCACGGGGCGGCCGCGATGACGCGCCGGCGGGGAGGGTCGGGCCGGGGCTCCCCCCGGGGCGGCCACCGGGGGGGGTCCCGCAGGCCCTGCCTCGCGGGAGTCCTACTCGCCCTTTGGGCCAACCTCGCGTGGCTCTGCGATGGCCGTCCGGCCCTCCTGCTCTGGCTGCTGGCCAGGGTGCGGCGCCGGCACCAGCGGGGCCCCGGCCGCACGCCGGCGGCCGCTCGCGCCGACGGGGACGCGTGGCGGGCCGTGCCGGTAAGTCGCGAGGGGCGCCGTGGGGTCAAACGGCAGAGGGGCAGCCCTGCGACCGCGCCGCTACCGCCACCGTTGGCGGGACGGCCTCCTAGAAGGATGCGTTCGGTCGACTCTTCCACGCTGGCCGGGTGTCTCGGTCGAGGTGGAAATACCCAAACTCTAGTGCCTCTTCCTCCGCCCGTGAACGAAGTTAACGAGATGCCCGGGTGGCAATTAAGCGGTGGAGCGGGCGGCTCGCGGCAATAGGAAGGTCGCGAATTCACATCCTGGCTGTCGGGGGATTGACTTGGTCCACAACTTTTCCCTCCGGGGTGGATACAATAAGTCAACAGCGGTTGTTCTACGGAGAGACTCGCCCCCGCCATAGGAATGAGGAAATGCCACCGCCGGCTCTGCCCGGTGGCGAGCAGGAGGCCCTACTGCTGAGTGGTAGACGGCACGGGAGCGACGCCACCACCCCCCTCCCCCGAGTGCCACGCCGCGCCAGATGGCGCCGGCGCCGTGTTCTCTCCTCCGCTAACGAGCGCCAGCGGTGGCTGCTGCTGGCGCAGAGGTCCCCTGCACCCCCCTCACCGCCTTTCATCCCCCCCCACCCCACCGCCCTCCTTGTCTGCCCCCACGGGGGGAGGGGGGGGGGCAAGACTGGCAGCCTCCTAGCAGCTCCGAGGTGGCGTTGGCGCTCGTCTCATTAGGGCGAGCCGCCGGCGCTTGAGCAGGTGCTGGGGTCGGCGCAGGTCGGATCGAGGGGCTGGGACCGGCGCTACGACGTTGGCGGTAGCTGGAGTGGGAACTGGGGGGTGGGGAGGTGTGGGATGGCAGGGGGGGGGGCTGCCACAAGATCGGACCCCCCCCCCCCTGCCCCCCCTTCATCGCCAACATCCCTTCACCTCCCCTTCTTCTCTTCTTAACAAATGCAGCTCTTATCTTGACGGCGAGCCAGATCGCCTTGGATCAGGCAGGCGGAGTAGGCCCCGTGCGTGGCCACGGTCGACTTGGCACTCGGGCTTGGCACGCAGACTTGGCACCGTTTTGGTTTGCACGCCCCTCCCCCCCCACCCCTACACCGCCCGCCCGCACGACTCTGGCTCTTCTCTACCGAGGAGAGCCGGGACGATTGGTTGGCCAAACAACGGCGTGACTCGGCACGTCCCTTTTAGTCGATTACTCGGGCCCCTGGTGCGGGAGGTGGTGCGGGAGGTGGTGCTGGTGGTGGTGGCAGTGGTGGCGGCGATGGTGGTGGTGGCGGTGGTGGTGGTGGTGGTGGCGATGGTGGTGGTGGTGGTGGTGGTGGTGGCGATGGTGGTGGTGGCGGCGGTGGTGGTGCTCGTGGTGGTGGCAGTGGTGGCGGCGGTGTTGGTGGTGGCAGTGGCGATGGTGGTGGTGGTGGTGGTGGTGGCGGTGGTGGTTAGACGGTGCAGTGAAGAGGCCGGGTGACCTCCTACGACTCGCCGATCGAGGGGCCGAGTGGTTTGGACACCGATGTGTGGTTCTCGTTGCAGGCGCTGGACGCTTGTGACCTCGGATCGCCCGACGGCGACTCTGACCCTGACCCCAACCGGGGTCACGACCTGCCCCTGCCCCGACAGCTTTCGGAGACCGAGAAATTACGCAAGGTCATCGTGGAGCTGCTGGAGACGGAGCGCACGTACGGACGGGTGAGGATTACAACCAGATTACTCACCAGATTGCAACCAGATTACAACCAACTTTCACGATTATCACCAGACTACGATGATTAACAGAATACGCACGAGATTACCAATTAGACATCCAGATTATCCGTAAGATAACCAGGTTATTAACCGGATCACTTATTGGCCGGCGGGGCGGTGCGGTGCAGAAGGCCCTTTGCCCAAAACGTCGCCGGTTGCAGACAGCGGTGTTGCTGACGAACGTGTCGAGCGTGGACCGGCTAAGCGGGGGGGGGGGGGGGGGGGTCACGCGGGGAAGATGCCGTCTCTGTGTCTGTGCCTGAGGGAGACGCCGGCTCTGTGCCTGTGGCAGGACCTGAAGCTGCTGATGGATCAGTACCTGGAGCCGCTCCAGACGCAGCCTTTCCTCACTCCCGAGGAGGTGAGCGACGCGGATCGGCACCGCTAGCAGAGCCCGCGGTGGACTCCTGGCTACCGACAGCACCGTGGTGCCACAACGCCGACATTGACGCTGCCTCCCGTGTACCCGCGTCTCCCTAACTCTGTCTCCCTTGCCCTGTGGCTCCCCTTTTTCTGTCTCCCCTTGTCCCTGTGTCTCACCTTGTCTCTGTGTCTCCCCTTGTCCCTGTGTCTTCCCTTGTCTCTGTGTCTCCCCTTGTCCCTGTGTCTCCCCTTGTCCCTGTGTCTCCCTTGCCCTGTGTCTCCCCTTCTCCGTGTCTCCCCTTGTCCCTGTGTCTCCCCTTGTCCCTGTGTCTCCCTTGCCCTGTGGCTCCCCTTTTTCTGTCTCCCCTTGTCCCTGTGTCTCACCTTGTCCCTGTGTCTCCCCTTGTCCCTGTGTCTTCTCTTGTCTCTGTGTCTCCCCTTGTCCCTGTGTCTCCCCTTGTCCCTGTGTCTCCCCTTGTCCCTGAGTCTCCCTTGCCCTGTGTCTTTCCTTCTCTGTGTCTCCCCTTGTCCCTGTGTCTCCCTTGCCCTGTGTCTCCCCTTCTCCGTGTCTCCCCTTGTCCCTGTGTCTCCCCTTGTCCCTGTGTCTCACCTTGTCTCTGTGTCTTCGCCATGCCCCTGTGTCTCCCCTTCTACGTGTCTCCACTTGTCCCTGTGTCTCCCCTTGTCTCTGTGTCTCCCCTTGTCTCTGTGTCTCCCCTTGTCCCTGTGTCTCCCTAACTCTGTCTTCCTTGCCCTGTGTCTCCCCTTATCTCCGTGTCTCCCCTTGTCCCTGTGTCTCACCTTGTCTCTGTGTCTCCCCTTGTCCCTGTGTCTCACCTTGTCTCCGTGTCTCCCCTTGTCTCTGTGTCTCCCCTTGTCCCTGTGTCTCATCTTGTCTCTGTGTCTCCCCTTGTCCCTGTGTCTCACCTTGTCTCCGTGTCTCCCCTTGTCTCTGTGTCTCCCCTTGTCCCTGTGTCTCACCTTGTCTCCGTGTCTCCCCTTGTCTCTGTGTCTCCCCTTGTCCCTGTGTCTCATCTTGTCTCTGTGTCTCCCCTTGTCCCTGTGTCTCCCTAACTCTGTCTTCCTTGCCCTGTGTCTCCCCTTATCTCCGTGTCTCCCCTTGTCCCTGTGTCTCCCTTGCCCTGTGTCTCCCCTTGTCCCTGTGTCTCCCCTTGTCTCTGTGTCTCCCCTTGTCTCTGTGTCTTCTCTTGTCCCTGTGTCTCCCTAACTCTGTCTTCCTTGCCCTGTGTCTCCCCTTATCTCCGTGTCTCCCCTTGTCCCTGTGTCTCCCCTTGTACCTTGGTCTCCCCTTGTCTCTGTGTCTTCTCTTGTCCCTGCGTCTCGCTAACTCTGTCTTGCCATGTCCCTGTGTCTCCCTAACTCTGTCTTGCCATGCCCCTGTGTCTCCCCCGCACCCTCGGGCAGCTGAGCTCCCTCTTTGGCCGTCTGCGTGAGATGGAGTCGTTCCAGCGAGTGTTCGTGCGTGCGCTGGAGGAGGGGGCGGCGTTGGGCGGGCTGGCGAGCGACGCTGCTGCTGCTGACCACCCCGCTCCTCACGAGCCTCGCTGCCCGGTTCGACTCCGGGTGAGTGACGAGCGCGCCGTGACTCCCGAGCGTCCAGAATCGATTTTTGTTCGGGGGCCACGCACTGATTTGGCAAAACGGTTTGTCGAGTGATCTTCTTCCACTCGACCGGCACGCGACGTGATGGCGCTCCCTGCGTGACCCTACGTGACCCTGCATGGCCCTGCCTCTGTGTGCCTCTGTGCGTCTCCTTGTGCCCACCGATTGTCCCCCGTGCGTTTCTCTGTCACCCTGGGACATCCCCGGTGCATTCCCACGCCTCTCCGTGCACGTATCCCACATATCCCCTTGCCACCCGTTTATCCCCACGCGTCCCCGCGTGTCTCATCGCATCCCCGTATCCCCCCGCCGCTGTGCCACCCCCCCCCCCACCCCCGCCCCCCCCCCCCCCCACCACGTGAGCAGCGAGCGCTCTTCTCCCTGGGGGGGACGTTCCTCTACTACGCGGAGCACTTCAAGCTCTACAGCGCCTTCTGCGCCAGCCACTCGCGGGCGCAGCGCATCCTCGCCAAGGGTGAGCTCCTGCTGCGCCCGCTGCGCATGCTGCGCCTGCTGCTCCCGCTGCGTCCGCTGCGTCCGCTGCGGTGGAGCCGTCGCTTAGCGGCCGATCGACGGACCTGGCCGCCCGGTCGGCTGTCGCAGCCGGGGCCCCGGCGGCCGTGGACTCGTTATGTCGCCGCTCGATTCGTGACCCGATGTCGCCGGACGCGGTCGCGGGGCGAAACGAAACGTGGCTTGGCTGTGGGGGGCGGCACGTGCGGCGAGCAGTAGCCGCAGGTGTATACTGGACGCGGTGTGCCGGGCGTAGATTTGGGTTTCCGGATCGCCGACCCAGAACGGGCACTGTTGATGAAAAGCTGGCCGCACGTAGAATGCCGTAGGCTCGCACAGAGACATCATAGATTTCGTGCGCACTTTCAGATCTACTTCGGCGGCCGTCTGGAATGATGTTAGGAAGCCACTGGGAGCTATGCACTTTTAAATCTAGAATAGAAAACTCATTTCTTTAGAACTGCGTTTTTTGTATTTAGGTAGTTGTCCTTTCCTCGCACCTCCGATTAGTGCGTTCGGCTACGTACGTTGCCAATGAAGTTCAACACACATCCACACGTACAGATTCACACGAGGACTAAACCTTTGCGTGCCGCCGCGTGGCCTCGAGTGGGTTGGCACCCGCACAGCTAGGCCTCGGCAAGGTAAGGTAAAAGTGTAAAAACAACGAGCCTACCTTTACCCTACCTTTTACCTTACCACAATACAATCACTCTACCCTACCTTTTACCCTTTAGCAGGTAAGGTAAAAGTGTAAAAACAACGAGCCTACCTTTTACCCTACCCTTTACCCTTACCCCTTGGCATGTCGACACCTTTACCTTTACCCTTTTACCCGGTAAAAAGGGTACAATTACCTTACCTTGCCGAGAGCCTACGCACAGCCGAACAGCCGCGACACCGCGAGGCGCATTACTTGATGTCGTCTTCCCTGGTGTGACGGTGGCGGCGGCGGCGGTGGCAGCGCGCACGGAGGCGGCGTTCTGCGCGTTCCTGGAGGAGCGCAACCCGGGGCGCCAGCACGCCTCCTCGCTCGAGTCTCTGCTCATCAAGCCGGTGCAGCGCGTGCTCAAGTACCCGCTGCTGCTGCGCCAGCTCGCTGCTCTCGCCGCCCCCCACTCGCACGAGCGCCACCACCTCACCGGTGAGGAGGGGGAGGGGCCGCAGGGGCCACGTGGTCAGACCCCCCCCCCACCACCGATTGGCTGCAGCGTGGCGCGCCACCGATACGATTCCAGACGATGCGATTACTGTCCTAACAGAAGCTCTGTGTGCATGCATGCGTGTGTGTGTGCGCGTGTATGTGTGTGCGCGCGTGTGTGCATATGCATGTGTGTGTGCGCGCATGTGTGCATATGTGTGTGCGCGCACGTGTGTGCTTGTGTGTGTGTGTGCGTGTGTATGTATGTGTATGTGTGTGTGCCTACGTGTGCGCGCGTGTGTGCCTGTATATGTGTGTGTGTGCCTGTATGTGTGTGTGTGTGCGTGTGTGTGTGTTCCTGCGTGCGCCGCTCAGAGGCGATGCGCGCCATGAACGGCGTCGCGCGCCACATCAACGAGATGCAGAAGCTGTACGACGAGTTCGGAGCCGCGTTCGACGGCCTCCTCGCCCAGCAGCCCGGCCCCTGCCGAGAGGCGAGCGTCACACCGCACGCGTCGCACCGCACGCGTTGCACCGCACGTGTCACATCGCACGTGTCACACCACACGCGTGGCACTGCACGCGTCACACCGCACGCGTCACACTACACACGTGGTACCCCATGCGTCACACCGCATGTGTGGCACCGCACTCGTCACACCACGCGCGTCACACCACACGCGTGGCACCGCATGCGTCACACCGCACGCGTCACACCGCACGCATCCAGCCTCACGTATAGCACCGCACGCGTCCAACCACATGCATCACACCGTCTCATGCAGGTGAGCGAGCTGTCCATGGCGGAACTCATCGGCCACGACTCGGTCACCTGGCTCAACCCCCCTGCTCACCTCGGGCGACACTGGAGGGAGCCTCAACTCACCCTGCTCGGTGAGATACGCAGCGATCACCCACTCACTCACTCGCTCGCTCTCCCCACCTGCTCACCCACCCGCTCGCTTACCCACCTGCTCGCTCGCCCACTCGCTCGCTCGCTCCCCCTACCTGCTCGCTCGCCCACCCGCTCGCTCGCTCGCCCACCCACCCTATCGCTCGCCCACCCACCCTATCGCTCGCCCACCCACCCGCTCGCTCACCCACCCGCTCGCCCGCCCACCCGCCCATTCACCCATCCGCCCACCCACCTGCTCACTCGCCCGCCCACCCACCCACTTACTCGCCCACCCAGCCACTCGCTCACCCACCCGCTCGCTCGCCCAGCCGCTCGCTCACCCGCCCGCTCACCCACCCGCTCGCTCACCCACCCGCTCGCTCACCCACCCGCTCGCTCGCCCACCCACCCGCTCGCCCACCCGCCCGCTCGCCCACCCACCCGCTCGCTCGCCCACCCACCCGCTCGCCCACCCACCCGCTCGCTCACCTGTTCAGGAATTGGCGTCGCTGTGCCTGCTTGCGGGAGTTGATAAGTGCAGAGGGTCGGTGCCGGCCTGGCAGCGATGAGCTCCCTCACAGCCATGGCACTTCGAGAGGCCTCGCGTGGCCACGGGAATCTCTCCGGGCCGCTCAGTGGGGGAGGTGGCGACCCCGATTGACCCTCACCCCTGGTCCTCGTGCGCCGTGCCGGCCTTCACCGGTGCTCGCGAACAGCGCTTGCCCCAAAAAGAATATAGAGCTGACATGGGAGATGTTTGTCTTTGTATATGTGTGGCAGCGCCTCGTCTAGGTCGACTCAGCCTAAAATGAGTACCTGGTGGGGTGTGTAAGCATTGCCACTCGGAAGACAAAGGCGAACGGGTATGGTGCTGGTGACCCACCCCCTCGAGTGCCGTGCCGGCCTAACAGCACTTGCCCCAACAGTCTGTTGAAGGCTATACAGGGGATCTTTATCTTTGTTTGTTCGCTGTCCCCACTCCATCTCTTAGTGTTCCGCCCGGCACTCGTCCTCCTCTGCAAGGATCAGACGAAGCCTCGCAAGAAGGTGACGCATCCTCACCCTCACTCGCACAGAGACCCACAGACTCACACAGAGATCCACAGACTCACACAGAGACCCATAGACTAACACAGAGATCCATAGACTAACACAGACACCCACATGCTCACACAGAGACCCATAGACTAACACAGAGACCCATAGACTCTCACAGAGACCCACAGACTCACACAAAGATCCATAGACTCATACAGAGACCCATAGACTAACACAGAGACCCATAGACTCACACAGAGACCCACAGCCTCACACAGAGACCAATACAGTCACACAGAGACCCATAGACTGACACAGAGACCCAAAGGCTCTCACAGAGACCCACAGACTCACACAAAGATCCATAGACTCACACAGAGACCCACAGCCTCACACAGAGACCCATAGACTCACACAGAGACGCATAGACTCACACAGAGACCTATAGACTCACACAGAGACCCATAGACTTACGCAGAGACCCATAGACTCACACAGAGACCCATAGACTCACACAGAGATCCATAGAGTCACACAGAAATCCACAGCTTCACACAGAGACCCACATGCTCACACAGAGACCCACATCCTCACACAGAGACCCACATCCTCACACAGAGACCCATAGACTCACACAGAGACCCATAGACTAACACAGAGACCCATAGACTGACACAGAGACCCAAAGGCTCTCACAGAGACCCACAGACTCACACAAAGATCCATAGACTCACACAGAGACCCACAGCCTCACACAGAGACCCATAGACTCACACAGAGACGCATAGACTCACACAGAGACCTATAGACTCACAAAGAGACCCATAGACTCACGCAGAGACCCATAGACTCACACAGAGACCCACATCCTCACACAGAGACCCACATCCTCACACAGAGACCCATAGACTCACACAGAGACCCACATCCTCACACAGAGACCCACATCCTCACACAGAGACCCACATCCTCACACAGAGACCCATAGACTAACACAGAGACCCACACAGAGACACAGTGACTCACCCCGCTCGGCAGTTGGTGCGTTCGGCGTATGTCTTGATGCCCGAGGGGGAACAGCGAGCGAGCGAGGCCTGCGGCTGACCGTGTGCGTGCCCGACCGTGCGTGCTGTGCGGCGCAGGGCGGCCCCCCCCGGAGTCCGCGCTGCACGGGCCCCGAGGACGCGCTCCGCTTCGCCCACATGGTCCCCGCGACGGCGCTGCAGCTGCGGGCGGGCAGCACCACGCAGGGTACGCGCGTAGCGCGGGCGGCACGCACCGACCGCCCGGCGAGACGCGGCGGAACGGTCCACCGGCCGGATATTATCCGGGGCCATTGGTGACGGGTGGTAGCCACAGCGCCAACGGCAAGCGGTGTGCTGGGTGTGGTGTGCCGGGCGTGGGAATATTTTTCAGGTCGTTGACCTACCGCGATTGTAACGTTGGACTCCGTGGCTACCTCATTCTCCCTGCTCCCTACCTGTACCGCCCCCCCTCCATCTGCTTCCCCCCCACCCCCCTGCTCCCTCCCAGACGATGGCATCAGCTGCATCTGGGAGGTGATCCACGTGCGCTCCGAGACGGAGGGCCGCCCCGAGGCAGCGTTCCATGTGTGCAGTCCGTGAGTGCGCACATCGCACGCCAACACCACGCCGCGCCACCCTCCACCACACCACGCCACCCCATGCCACACCACGCCACCCCCTGTCACCCCACACCACCCCCCATCACCCTGCACCACCCCCCGTCACCCCACGCCACCCCCCACCACACCTCGCCACCCCAAGCCACACCGCGCCACCCTCCGTCACACCGCGCCACCCCCCGCCAGACCGCGTCACCCCCCATCACCCTGCACCACCCCCCGTCACCCCGCGCCACCCCCCGCCACCCCAAGCCACTCCAAGCCACAATGCGCCACCCCACGCCACACTGCGCCACCCCACACCATGATGTAACACCACCCCACACCGTAAGCGCGTGTGTATGGGCGCGTACGTATCTGCGTCAACGCACTGACAGAATGTGTGCGTTCGTACATGCGCGTACACAATACGTGTCCATGCACGTGTGATTCGTCGTGACGTGCATATTGTGCACCTCTACGTGTGTTTGCGATGTGTATACGTGTGCGTTGCTACGTGCACACGTACGTGTGTGCATGCACCTGTATGCGTGCGCCTGTACGTGTGTGCGTGCGCCTGTACACGTGCGCGCAGCTCTCTGGAGCGGAAGCTGCGCGTCGTGCGGATGGTTGAGCAGCTTCTCAAGGCCGGGGCCCGGGGGGCACACGGGTCGCGCTGGGGGGGTCACGGCACCCCCCACGGGTGTCACGGGGAGTACGTCCCCTACGGGGGTCAACGCCTCGCAGCGCTGAGGGGGGGCCGGGCGGCGCTGCACAAGCAGGGTAGGGCTTGCACGGGGGCCGCCCCGATCTTACAACCCAAACCCCAAACCCATACCTCTGAACCCCTATCCCCGAGCTCTACAGGGACGCACGGCAACCCCTAACGCCAGTCATTTCCGCAGAGTCATCGTGGAGCTGCGCATCGGACCCGGACGCCGGCCACCCCGAGTCACCCCGGGCCGCTCGCCCGTCTCAGCCGGCCGGCGCTTCGGGCTCGGCCCCGGGGACACGGGACAGCGGGGACATTCCACGCAGATCCGGGGACACGGACGGGCGCGGCTGGGAGCACCGTCCCACGCGGACGTGGCAACGGGATTACCCCACGGACAACCCCGGAGAAAATACGTCCAGAGACGGAGGAGACAGAGGAGGAGGAGGTGGAGTACGAGAGGGAGGAGGAGGTGGAGTACGAGAGGGAGGAGGAGGAGGAGGTGGAGTAGGCGACAGGCGACTGTCACCCGGCGACGAGCGACAGTCGCCGACGCGGTGTCGGGGCGGCCATGACGGTGCCGCCCCTGCCAGCCCGGCGCTGGACTCTTCCAGCTTCATGCGTGAGCTGGAGCGGCGCCTGCAGAGCACCTTCCTGTGCGACGGCGCTCCGCCGCCGCCATCTGATACCGGGGCGCGGTGTGCCACGGGGGGTCACGCGGGGGGAGCGGGGGGCCACAGGCCGCTAGCTCGGGCTCTCACGGGAGACTTCACCTCCGAGCTGGCACGGGACTTCAGCGACCAGAGCCTGAGTTCGGTGACGAGTGAGGAGCGGTTCTTCGGGGTGCTGGACGTGAGTCTGTAATGACGACGCCGGCGCTCTCCGTGTCCTGCGGGTGCCCATGTTCTTGATAAGGACGCACGCACATGCGCGTGCGTACGTGGACTGTATGTACGCGCGCGCGCGTGTGTGCGCGTACGCCCGTCGCGTTGTTTTATTTCCATTTTGTTTTCAACAATGGAAACTTGGGACTGAACCAGGAGACTCGGGGTCGCCGCGTCCGGCCGAGACGAGTGGACCTCGAGAAGCACCGAGTCGCGATCATGACAGCGTTGTTTGTTTTCGGCGAACGTCCGCGTCCTCCGTGAGCTGTCGGGCTCGTGGTGTCACGAGACGTAGCATCCTTGAGGAACTCGCACAGGAAGCAGTCCCATCGCCTCGTGTCCTGCAGAAGCGAAGGTCTTCAAGAAGAGAACATCGCAGAACAACTTCCGAGCTCCCTCCAAGTGACCTTTTTCATCCACACGTTCGGGGCGCTGCATGCCCTCCCCCCCCCCCCCCCCCCCACAACTCGAGAAAAGTTTGCCGCGTGGCAGTGAAACCGAGATTATTTACGCGGTGTATATTTTTGTATGCAGGGTCTCTGATGGGGTCCCCCTCCCCTTTTGTTGGGGCCCTTGTTCGGGGGGGAGGGGGGGTGTGGAGGTGTTTCATCCCCCTCACTGGGGTCTCCCCGAAGCAGCCTCACCGCTCCTGGCACGGTGCGCGGCGGTTCACGATGGGCGGTGGTGCCGCCGTTCGGGTTCGTGATCGAGCCGGCCGCTCGGAGGGTGGCGGTGCCGGCCTCGTCCGTTTCAGGGTTTATGGCAGGGCCGATCGGAGGAGGGGCGCCAAAAAAGTGAAAATTTGCCCCCGAGCTAATGGATAATTGGGCCTCACGGGGCATACAACAGGAACCTCCGTGTGGCCCTGGTTCAGGGTAAAGCACTACAGTGGCAAGACTCGCATTTAATGCCTGTGCATGTTTTTTATGACTGTAATTTTTTCCACGTGCAGCGTTTGTACGAGATTGTAGCCCCTTTAGCCTGAGAAGATAAATCGGTTGAGCCACACCGATGTGACCAAAACTTATAGAAACGATTAAAAGTTTTCGCCCCGTTTTGAGTAGAACGCTTCAAGCGAGCCGCCAACACAGCACCTGTGATTTCATAAACCTACGTGTCGATTTCGTTTGGCCAGGACGGTTTACTGTAGTTAGACCAGGGTGCACTAAACCGGCTGACATTCCCTTTCGGGAAGAGGACTTACAATTTTTCGGTAGCAGTTTTTACTCAACTTCAGCTCGTATTGGTTTTTCGTTATTTAAATTCTTGAGCCAGCTCTCCTACTTTGTTTAAGCCTAGTGTCACCAAAAATGTACCGGACTGCGTCGAGCCTCGGGCTGGGTTTGCCAAGACAGTGTGGGCCCAACTTTGCCCCGGTTATTTATTGTTCTGAAAGTCGTCTCTAGTTTTCTATGCGCGGAGCGGCTCGAGATTACGGCTGCGTCAACACTGTCAAGGCTGCTGCTGTTTTTGTAATAAACTCCTTTTTGTATGTGTAACCAGTGTGGTTATGTTTGCGAGAGCCACGTGACCACCTGTGTAAGACATTCCCCAAGGGATCCTGAAGAGGGGAGGCCCGTATTGAGGACCAATCGTGACGCCAGCATGTCGACATTACAGGTCCGTTGGCGTGCCTGTTGTGCTGGGAGCCGTACAAATGAAAACAGATGCCGATTTTTGGAACATCGTCACCCCCTCGTGGCCGGTGTTGGGAGCGCGAGTAGAGTTGCAGTTGACGAAATAAAAATTAACCCGTAAAAACAAAGTTTTTCACTATAAATCCATTATATGCGTGGCGGCTAGAGTCCTCTCGTCCTCTGGCTTGAGATGGCTGCCACCTATGGGTCAGATGATTGTCTGCCACCATTAAGCAATTGGTAATTAAATATATTTTTGTCCTAAAAAGTGTAACATTTTGAAAAAAAAATTTCACGAACATTCATTGTCACGGACAACGGAAAATGTCAGCTCGATTGGATCACGGGAAGTGGGTTAAAAAACGACCGAAAGATTTGCACGGTCCTAAGCAAGCAAGCAAGTGAACTTAATATAAAGGATTTAAAAAGGGGATCGTGAAGCGGAACGAAGCAAAACAACTCAGGAGCGCTACCAAAACTTTAGTTTCATCATTTTTTGATGACCACCACCCCTCTGTGTCCTCGATAGTAACGGTCACGGCCAGGAAAGATCGAGGCACTGCGAGCACGGGTCACATATACGGAGGCCGTGGTCCTCTTACTGATGTCATTGGGTTCTACCGACCACAGCGATCTTCAGAGCCACTCTCCATCATAGGCACCACGTTTTGACTGCCATGAATTAAGAGGTCTCGGGGCTGGATGTTGAGTACTTGGCTGCTATAAATGCCCACATGTTAAGCCACTTTGTTGAGCGATCATTTGTGGCCAGGTCGTTTTTGAAAAAAAAAATCTACATAGCTAAAAAAAAGTACATTTAAGAACTTAACAGGATTTATCATCTTTGGTTCTTTCGGTAAAGTCACGTAGAAGGAAAATAATAAAATAATAAAAATAAAACAATAAAATAATTATCCTATTATTTCCCTTCTACGTGACTTTGCCGAAAGAACCAAGAAGATGAATCCCTGCAGTCACGAAAGCTTTAAATCGAAATTTAAACAGGATTTCTCCACAAATCTGGCTGTCACCTGATGCGAGTACAAATTACTGGCGAAACGTCGTACTCGAATTGTTAATGTTGTGGATTTACTCTCCGACACACCAGCGTGCTGTACGTGTAACGAATAGGCATGTTCCGTTTACGTGACAACCCCTAATTGGCTGTGTCGGGTGGCGGCGGGTTTAACGACACCACATTTATATTTACACGATATAACCCAAAAATATCTTATGAAAAAAAAGATTGTAGTTTAAAAACGTGCGGGAGATGAAATTACTGCGGCTGGGGAAGCATCTCCTTGGTGAGATATTTCCTTACCGGTTATACCACAGCAACGGCCTTGCTTATATATATATATTTGGGGGGACACATCTTTTGAATATGCAAATATGCTCAAAATATCCCCCCCAATATATTGCTATAAATCATATTTGCAAAAAAGTATAATTGCTATGCTATGTAAATAAAAACAATTTGCTAAACCTTGGCCACAATATCTGGACTTGTCTTCATATAACAATGCATAGATTTCTGTTTATATGATTGTGGTTATGGTTGTAGTTTATTAATCCCTAATCTCTGCCATTACATACAATGAAACAAGAAACGGTAACAAAGAAAAAGCAGCAATGTAATACAATACACTATTAGACATTATTGTAAAAAAAAGTCCATCCCATGTGTTAGTGAATTTTTGAATATTTTAGGCAGGAAATTAGTTTTAAAATTTAGATTTTTTTCTGGGAGGGGGGGCCCTAGACCCCTTGGGAGATTTGGTCCCCCCCAATGTTGACTCCATGGCTCGGGCCTTGTACCACAGTATCTGGCGATGCTGCGTTGACATTGGTGCAAAAAGCGCAGTGTGTGGCCTTGAAACATATACAACAGCCAACATTCAGGGTAATGGCGCCTTCAGAGCACATAAATCAAGGGGCACTGCCCGAAACGTCGCATATTACGTCTCCTTTTAAGGCCACGTGCAAAGTTATTGACAAAACGCGTTGGGTTTAATTGTAAGAGGTCTAAAAGAGCGCGCTGCGTCCAGATGCTACATTCGGCCTGCTCTCCCACGCTGCGCAACGCCTTGGAAGTACGATCTGTCGGATGATAAAGGCGTTGACGCTAAGGATAACCGGGGCGGTGAAGTATGGTCAAACAATCCCCCGAGAGCGACACGGCCGGTGAGAGAGAGAGAGGCTTTCATCCAGCAGTGGACAGCGGAGAATGCGAGTCGGCATGTCCCACCCACGTGCTCCCCATGCCGGCACGGGGCTGCCCGCGCAGCTGCCTGACCCCACCGCCAAGTCGGGGTCCTTCCAAAATTCACCGTCGACACCAATTAAAATGCTGAACTTGAAAAACTAAAATTATAATCGCGTTCTATGGTTCTGTCGGTAAAGTCACGGAGATAGAAACAATAATAAAAATTTAAATAAAGTGAATAAAAAATAATACAATTTTTTTTAAAATAAAAATCGCACTGAGGTGTTACATGGTAAAATAATTAGTGGGGGGCACATGGTTGTGAGGTAAAATAATTAGCGGGGGGCACGCGGTTGTGAGGTAAAATAATTAGTGGGGGGCACGCGGTTGTGAGGTAAAGTAACGTAGGTAAAATGTTTAAATCAATTTAATCACGACGTTTCGGGCGCAACACAAGCGTCCTTCTTCAGGTGGGGACAACTTAGCGAAAGCACAACCGCTTAAGTGTGTCACTTAATTTATTTTAATTGTTTTACCTACGTGACTTTACCGAAAAAAACAAAGAGTATGAATCCTTGCAGTCACGAAAACTTCAAATCTATAATTAATTAGTTCGGTGAAAAAAAAATCAGGCTAAGGAATAAAAATTATCGATTATATTTGTGACTTCAAACGATAATGGGATTTTTCAACTTAAACCATTTCGTGACTTGCAGGGATTCATCTTCTTGGTTCTAATAAAATACAATTCTATTTTATTATGTTTTATTTTTTATTATTTTAGTATTTCCCTTCTACGTGACTTTACCGAAAGAACCAAGAAGATAATGGGATTCACGATTCAGAGTCCTGCTTGCAAATTGGCAGCTTGTGGATAAAAAAAGCCCCCCAATTGGACAATAATAGCAACAATGTGTGGCATTAACAAGAGACACGGTCACTGGTTGGTGTCCTTTGAAGGGGCCAGTGCCTGAAACGTCGCCTATTTAATATACACGTTCTATTTAAGCCACAGCCGGTGTTGTTGTTGAGTGGCTCTTGAGGGCTTCGCAATCATTAAGCAATTTAAAGTTACATCTAAAAACTCAACTTTTAAAACTTTCTTAAGATTATTTTATAGTGTTCATTTTTGTAATATGCCTTCGATAGCAATTTATTATAATGTAATTGTGTTTAAACATTGCTTTCATTCTTCTTGCGATTTAGTCCTATTACAGATTTTTTTTTATCTGTACAGCACTTTGAATGTCATCTTTTTGCACGAAACAGTGACATTTATAAATAATAAAGACCTCATTTATTTAACTTTTATCGGGAGCAGGCAAGACACTCTCGCCCTCACTGCAGCCGATCCAACCCGAATCGCAATCAAACGATTACCGCAATCGATTCCCTCCGAAGCGAACCCCCGTTCACAGTAACGATTAGATCCACCGCGCACCGCGTTTTAAGGGAATCGATTCCGGCGGCGGCAGCGGCGGGGGCCGGATCGATTCGAATGTAATCGAACTAAGCGGAATCGACGCGATTCCGCCGGCTCTCGCTTGCTGCCGCCACTGCTAAGATGGCGGGGGAGGAGGGTGGAGGCGCTGCAGGCGTCGTGGTCGCGGCGCGTCTCTCTCGGCAGGACCTGTCCTCCCTGGTGCGGCTCCCTCACGCACACCACTCGCGTCATAGACACTCACGATCACGAGGCCGGCGGCGGCGGCAAAGGCGGCGGCGGTGGCGGCTCTATCGGTCCGGCCACGCGCGGTTGTGGATTGAGGTGGAGAAGGCCGGGCCGCGTGTAGGCCTCGCCATTGATTGTGCGGGGCCTGGTTTGGGGTGGTGTGGGTAGGGGTTGTGTTGGTAGGGGTTGTGGTGGTGTGCGTAGGGGTTGGGGTGGTGTGCGTAGGAGTTGTGTTGGTAGGGGTTGTGTTGTTAGGGGTTGGGGTGGTAGGGGTTTGGGTGGTGTGCGTAGGGGTTGTGTTGGTAGGGGTTGGGGTGGTGTGGGTAGGAGTTGGGGTGGTGTTGGTAGGGGTTGGGGTGGTGTTGGTAGGGGTGGGGTGGTGTGGGTAGGAGTTGGGGTGGTGTTGGTAGGGGTTGGGGTGGTGTTGGTAGGGGTTGGGGTGGTGTGGGTAGGAGTTGGGGTGGTGTTGGTAGGGGTTGGGGTGGTGTTGGTAGGGGTTGGGGTGGTGTGGGTAGGAGTTGGGGTGGTGTTGGTAGGGGTTGGGGTGGTGTTGGTAGGGGTTGGGGTGGTGTGGGTAGGAGTTGGGGTGGTGTTGGTAGGGGTTGGGGTGGTGTTGGTAGGGGTTGGGGTGGTGTTGGTAGGAGTTGGGGTGGTGTTGGTAGGGGTTGGGGTGGTGTTGGTAGGGGTTGGGGTGGTGTGGGTAGGGGTCGGGGTGGTGTGGGTAGCGGTTGGGGGTAGGGGTGGTGTGGGAAGGGGTTGGGGTGGTGTTGGTAGGGGTTGGGGTGGTGTTGGTAGGGGTTGGGGTGGTGTGAGTAGGGGTTGGGGTGGTGTGAGTAGGGGTTGGGATGGTGTGGGTAGGAGTTGGGGTGGTGTTGGTAGGGGTTGGGGTGGTGTGGGTTGGGGTGGTGTGGGTAGGGGTTGGTGTGGGTTGGGGTGGTGTTGGTAGGGGTTGGGGTGGCGTGGTTAGCGTTTGGGTGGTGTGGTTGGAAGTTAGGTGATGTGGTTAGCAGTAGGGTAGTGTGAATAGGATGGGTCAAGAATTGGTGAGGTCGAGTTATGGTCAGACTGGGTTTGGTTGGAAATGGTCGGGCAAGCGAAGGGCTGGATCGAGAGGGGATCAGTTTGGTTTCGAGTATGGTTCGACTGGGTAGGGTATGAGATTTTATGGCTGTAATGCCGGCGTGGTCGTGTCGCGTAGGGCTAGACTGGGTCGAGGTCGGCTGTAGTCGGGTGCCATTGGGTCGTGTGAGACCTGAGTCTGTCGGCTGACCTATCCAGGTAGGGTCGGCGCGTACCGAGTTCTGTAGGAGTCTCACCTGAGTATCCACGCTTCACGCTGTCGGAGGCCGCCTGCGTGATGAGGCCGATTTCACGGCCTGATCTGACGAAGTGAATTGCAGACGTACTGTAACTGTGTCGATGGTAATTTCTGTCATTTTTTTTATTATCATTGACTTGATGTCTGGTGGAAATTGGATATGCAATTGGGTCTCGTTGGTCTCAGAAATGCACGGTTTTGGTCGGTTTAAAATTATATTCGTGTAATCAGGTAAGAAGGATGATACTCTTATCTCAAGAGTGACTCGAGTAACCAAATTGACAAAAGAAAACACAGTTAAATAATTAACTGGGTATACATGAGGATCGTGTGGAACAATGAAACTTTGATTACCATTGTGGACTTGATGCTCAGTCTTTACACCGAGCCCCTCCCCCATCGAGGGTCTGGAGTTGGGAAGTTCTCACGTTCGTGGTTCGTCACTCACCGCTTTCCGTATTTGTCTCTCCGCACTCGCTTGCAGGACGTGGGGAAACTCACGCCGCTGTCACCCGAGGTGATCAGCAGACAAGCCACCATCAACATCGGTAAGGGCGGCGATGGGGGCACGCGGGGTGGCGGAGGATGTGGCGCAAACTTGCGCGCCCGCCTTGTGATGCAATCCCCCTGGACTCCCAGCGTCGTGCCGTGAAACACTCGTGCATCCAAGTGGTGGTAGCCCTAGCCTCTAACATTATTATCATCACCAGCCATGATCTAAACACTGCCGTATCATTCCTGGCCACGGTGTAACGTTATAGACCTCTGGACCCATCCTGAACAGCCTGCTGCTACTAACTTGCACTGACCAGCGTGGTGAAGTATGATCAAACAACCCCCATGACTGGAATGTGTGTGGAGGCGTTCATCCAGCAGTGGATTGACAGAGCATTGTAAATTGTCATTGTTTTTCTTCCTGCAATTATTCGCAGTCATGTCATCAAGTGGGGGCAGCCTTCCCGCACTTTTTTCCCAATTTTTTTCTTCCAAAGTGGAGCCAGCTTTTGACTTGTGCGCTGTAAACACGGTGATGTTGTTGACGGTTGTTCCACATGCTTTGGAACATCGATGCAACAGTGTGGTTTGCTGATGCAGCCACAATTGCAGGCTGTGGTGGAAGCCGGAGATTATGAGAGGATGCCTAGAGTGTGCGTGTTGTGTGTGGTTGGCTGACTGGGCGTTCGGGAGATCTTGACAAATTCCCCACCACTTGCGATTTGATTGACTAAGGGGTGTCCAGCACAACTTGGACTGATTGTATTTGTTGACAAGGGTAAAAAACATTTAGCCGTAAGCTATTTCACAAGAATAAGGCACGGAGCACCTTGGTGAGAAAATAAGGAAGTTACCGTAAATGAATGGCAACATTACAGAATTGAGGAAAACACCATTCCATGTAAGATCCTGAATTTTTATAGATAATGCATTACTGTTGGACATGATGTAAAATAAATGAAATTGGCTTCAAATTTGGGACAAAGATGAATTGATAAATGAAGCAAAACAATTTGCTAGTCGATTGGAAGTGTCTGTCAATCGGACACAACTGCAAAACACATCAGAGTGTGTGTTCCTAGGACGGTTATTAGAGGTGGACCGAGATAAAAAGTAAGGGGGATGAAAACAATTGCTCTGCTTTTGGAAAACTTAATCGTGAAAAGCAACATACAAATGTGCCAAAATAAAAACTTCTTTCATAATGATGTCAGTGATGGTGGTGCCATTTGTGAAGGTATTTAAGTTGTGGTCATGGTGATATAGCTAACTGATGGTGATGATGTCATCGATGATGGTTGTTGGCTGTCGGTCAATGTGGTGGTGGTTGCGATGGTGGCGATTATGATGTCGCTGATGATGGTTGATGCCGCATGCAGGTACCATCGGGCACGTGGCCCACGGGAAGTCGACGGTGGTGAAGGCCATCTCGGGCGTGCAGACTGTGCGCTTCAAGAATGAGCTGGAGAGAAACATCACCATCAAGCTGGGCTACGCCAACGCCAAGGTGCGCTAGGGGGAGCGGCACGCGCCGCTGCACAGAAGCAATGGTGGTGGGGGGGGGGTGTGCATCACGGGTAGTTGCCCCTCTTTGAAAAGTTTGATATCTCTTATATCAGACCATGGTGGCACAGTGGTTAGCACGATGTGCTATGCACCCGACTACCCTAATTCGATTCACAGCCCTGGCTAGCAGTAATGGCGAGTGACATCTGAATCGATCCTGGGTCACCACCCACAGTTATTGCTGGTACTGGTGGTCATTTTGCCAATGCTACCATTTTGATGGCATACCTGTTCCCAGGTGTACCGTAAGTGTGTGACCCCTACGTGTATCCTTGCGTGTGTATCCCATTCCCAGGTGTACAAGCTGGAGGACCCCAGCTGCCCGCGGCCCGACTGCTACCGCTCGTGCGGGAGCAGCACACCAGACGAGTTCCCCACCGACATCCCCGGCACCCGCGGCACCTTCCGCCTCATCCGGTAAGTGCTGCATCGCCTGGCCAGCCGGCTATATTGATCACACAGCCACACCACACCGCTCACACAGCCACACACCACACCGCTCACACAGCCGTACAGCTCACCCAGCCGCAACGCTCAACACAACCAAACCGTTCACACAGCCACACCGCTCACACAACCGCACCGCTCACCCAGCCATACTGCTGACCCACTACCTCTCACACACGCTACCCGCACCGCCTTCGCACATCTCCGATTATCACGGTTGGCTACGTACGGCGCGAAAGAAGTTAAACATACATACTGCCCTCCCAGCTCAAGACAGCCCCTCTCGAGGGTACTTGGCCTACTCTTCCGTGACGGCTGAACGCCTGTCCCCACTGCCGATTCACAAACTGCGGTGAACCCATTTATACCACTGGGTTAGACGGAGGCGGTTTTAAGAAATTCGCCCCATCGCGTCGTCTGGGGATTGTAAGTCCGGTGTGCTGCTACGGACTCGTGCGCCGCAGCAGTAGCAGCAGTAGCAGCAGCATCGTCCCAGTGGGTGTGCAAATGGCTTGTAATCATAGCCGGCAATCGCAGTGTCCCCCTCGCTGACCGCGCATGCTCTCTTTCTCTCTCTCCCCAGGCACGTCTCGTTTGTAGATTGCCCAGGCCACGACATCTTGATGGCCACCATGCTGAACGGAGCAGCCGTCATGGACGCCGCCCTTCTGCTCATCGGTGCGCCGGGTTCGGGGGGGGGAGCACCCTCTTTCTCGTCCGCACGTCTGTGTGTGGGACGGTTAGGGTGTCGATACCGTGTGTGTGTTTAAATTATTTTGTCCTGACTTTGGTGGTGGGGCAGTGGCGCAGCAGTTAATGCACTACAGTCGCGAGTGATATATTAATTGGTCGACCCGGCCTTACCAGTCTGAAACGGGCACCTGGTTTTGTGTGCGAACATCAGCACTGGAGAGACAAAGGCAATCAGGTGCTATTGCCGGCCTTGATAGGTGCTCACTAAGAGCACTTGTCCCGACAGTCTTGTCAGGCTACAAAGGGGTTCTTTGTATGTGTGTGTGTCTGATGGCAATACCAAATGCGCTGCCTTCAATCTTCACTGACCAGCGTGGTGAACTATACTCAAACAACCCCTGTGATTGACGCGCTGCAGCGGATAGACAATGGCTAATGCCCGGTGGTGATGGTTTGTATGTTGGAAAGAAAATGATTGATTATGATGGTGTGTGTGCGTGTGTTGGATAGAGATTAATAGCTGATGATGATGATGGCGTGTGATAGAGAATGATAGCTGATGATAGCTGATGATGTTGTGTGTGTGTGTTGGATAGAGAATGATTGATGATGGTGTGTGCGTGTGTCTCGGATACAGAATGATAACTGATGGCGATGATGGTGTGCTTGTGTACACAGCCGGCAACGAATCGTGTCCACAGCCCCAGACCTCGGAGCACCTGGCAGCCATCGAGATCATGAAGCTGAAGCACATCCTGATCCTGCAGAACAAGATCGACTTGGTGAAGGAGAGCCAGGCCCGCGAGCAGTACGAGCAGATCCTCAAGTTCGTGCAGGGTGAGGAGGACGAGGAGGGTGGGGAGGAGATGCAGCGCCAGTGCCTTGCACCGTGGTGTGGGTGGGGTCAGTTGTGCAGGCGGGGCCACAATGGGCAGGGCTGGCAGTGTGGGTTGGTGGGCATCGTAGGTGGGTGGGGTCAGTGTGGGAAGGGCTAGTAGGCATGAATTATGAAAAATTGTGGTTGGTGTTGATGATACCGTTTTTCCTGATGTCTATAAACCCTGCGTGCATGACAAGTGATCACACACTCATCTCTCCGCGTGTCCCCCGCGTGTCTCCACGTAACTCCCATGTGGCGGCGTGCAGGTACGGTGGCGGAGGGCGCCCCGATCATCCCCATCTCGGCGCAGCTCAAGTACAACATCGAGGTGATCTGCGAGTACATCGTCAAGAAGATCCCCGTGCCCGTGCGCGACTTCATCTCCGAGCCGCGGCTCATTGGTAAGGAACGGTGGCACGGCGGTGGCGGCGGTACCTTCTGCCGCGTTACGGCGGTGTCACTCCCATGGGTGGGGGTGTGGGGTGGCCGGTGGGGGTGTACATGTGCCTCCGTGCCCTCCCCCACGAGTTTCCTTGCTACCGTCTTCTCTACAGTTTACAGCTCTATGGCGCGGGTTTACATAGCGTCTTGAGTGCAACTGGATTACAGCCAAATCTCTCGCCAGATTCCTTGTTTGGTTTTATCGTGGAGTCGTTGGTGACCAGTCTGAGACACATGTGGCTGCAGTAGCAGCAGAGCCGCCTCGACCTTCGAAGTGACCTGACTACCTCCCTTTCACTTGGCTTGATCGTGAGTGATAGCAGAAGGCGTGTGTGCAGTCTTATGCTTGGTCACAGGCCTGTGCTGCGACCACCTTGTCTTGCATAGGGATAGCTGCCAATGCCCCACCCCTTCCCTCCACTTGTCTAGACTGCCGCACGTTATGCGTGTTGGGTGATGATGACGACGACGGTGATGATGACGATAACGACGAGGTGTGTGCCATGTCCCCGCAGTCATCCGATCCTTCGATGTCAACAAGCCGGGCTGTGAGGTGGACGACCTCAAGGGTGGAGTGGCAGGAGGCAGTATCCTGCGAGGGGTGCTTAAGGTGAGGCGGATTTGTGCATCTTGAGATGGATCCATACACCGCAGGACCATGAGAGGCAGCAACGGTTTGGGGCGAGGGGGGGGGGGGAGGAGGCCTTCATCTGGCAGTGGATTGCCGATCGCGATTCGGCGGTACAGCCGTGCTGAGAGGTGCGTGCGTGCGCTTGCAGGTTGGGCAGGAGATCGAGGTGAGGCCGGGCATCGTGTCCAAGGACAGCGAAGGGAAGCTCATGTGCAAGCCCATCTTCTCCCGCATCGTGTCCCTGTTCGCCGAAAACAACGACCTGCAGTTCGCAGTCCCAGGGGGACTCATTGGTCCGTGTCGCGCACGCACGCACGCATGCACGCTGTCTGTACACGCGCACTCGTGCAATAACAACAGTCACCATTCGTCACCAAATGCCGGTTAATTCACCGCGGCGCTCAAGCCAGGCTATAGATGCATTTTGAGGCAATCGCAGACCCAGGTGTTATGGGTTGACTGACATGACTTACAGATGCACACGCCCGTATGCCCGCATGCACTCGTACGCTCGCACACAACGCAGTCTGCGCGGCTCCACGGGGGATCTCTGTCTTTGCGCAGGCGTGGGCACCAAGATCGACCCGACGCTTTGCCGTGCCGACCGCATGGTCGGCCAGGTGCTGGGTGCCGTCGGGGCGCTGCCCGACATCTACACTGAGCTCGAGATCTCATACTTCCTGCTGCGGCGACTTCTGGGCGTGCGCACGGAGGGGGACAAGAAGGGAGCCAAGGTGAGTCGCTCGGAACCGTCGCCGCGTCGTTCAGTGGGCGTGGCCAAACTCCTTCGCCGCACACGCGCCGCACGCTGACATCGTCGCGTGAATCGCGGCCACGACACGCGCGCGGCGGTCATGCGGCCAGTTCACTCGCGCTGGTTGCCTGTGGAGTTTTGAATTTAAATATCTGCGGGAGCGCCTCGGGGAATACTCACGTCTTGCATCGCTGCCAGGAGCGAGTTCCCCGCGTGGTTCTCGCTTCCGCAGATTTTTTTCACTGCGTCCTTTGTTGAGTTGTACTTAAAATTGACCAGGAGCGGCCAAATTGCTCACGAGCTGTGTGTAGTTTGGCCGCTGCTGTCATAGGGCACAGTGCAGTACAGCGATGACTTTGTCCCCTGCTGACAAAGTAGTCCACTACTGATCCGAAGCAATAACAATTTCATCATATGCTTCTCGCAGAGCAAGTTTCGCATAGCTGATAATTTTAATTTTTACTGTATAGAATGTATGATTTGCATGCATAAAGACAAATAATCAATTCGCTCAATATCAGTTCAATTTCTGAACCAGTTGAACAACATGTTGCATGTTGTTGTAGGGGGGGGGGGGGGTTGAAGTCCCAGGTATGTTCCCTTATGTGCCGCTGGACTGGAGGTAATGGGCCACACCCATGATAAAGTCGGTTATGACACCTTCCCCCCCCCCCCCCCCCACTGCGCTCTGCTTCCACAGGTCCAGAAGCTGTCTAAGAACGAGGTGCTGATGGTGAACATCGGCTCGCTGTCGACCGGCGGACGCGTCCTGGCCGTCAAGGCCGATCTGGCGAAGATCGTGCTCACGAACCCCGTGTGCACCGAGATTGGGGAGAAGATCGCGCTCAGCCGCCGCGTGGAGAAGCATTGGCGGTGAGTAGCGTCGCGAGCGATGGCGATCCGGGCGGGTGTGGCTTGCACGAGGGCCGTGCAGGAAGTCGGTGTCGCGTCGTGAGTTATGCAGGCAGGGGGTTGCAGTGGCAGACGAAGCTGTGGGAGTTGTGTTGTTCTTATCGACGTGACCGCGTGCTGACCTCTGCGTCCAGGTAGCATAGGTTCACGCCCGGTGCCTGCTCTGTGATTAGAACCGGGGCACCCTTTGGTAACCCGAGCATCATTCCCACGGTATCACTCATGTCGGTTATCACAGTAACTGGAGCATCGTTCCGACAGTAACACGAGCAATGTTCCCACGATGTCACAAGTGTCAGTCTCACGGTAACGCGAGCAATGTTTGCACGGTAACAAGAGCGTTGTCCGTGTGTTGCAGGCTCATTGGCTGGGGCCAGATCCGACGAGGAGTAACCATCAGGCCGTCCATCGATGACGACTGAGATCCTGTCGGGAAAGTCGCCCGGCCAGGGGGATGATTGGAGGTCGGCAGGGAACCGATGGCGGAGGCACATTTCCACCACCCATGCCCCGGCTAAACCAGGCCGCTGACAAGAACCACAACCGCCACCGCCATCATGAACATCTCCCCACACCAAACACCGTCACGATCGCTAGAGTCACCACCACCCTCATGAGAATCTGCACCACCGCTACAACGGCAGTATTCCCGGCGTTGCCGCAGTTAACACCCGCACGGCCTACTACATCCTCGCACTCGTGTCTCGTACTTGTTTGCAGAGCGGAGTAATACAATCGAAAGCTTTTTTGTTTTGCAAATGGTAAAAAAAAACTAAGAATAAAGTTTATGCTTTAAGAGGACTGCTTTGTTCAGACTCGTGTGTCTGTTGGAGATAAGACTGCTGCACACAATACAATACGATGTGGACATATATTGGGTTGACATGCGATTGCATCTGAATAGAAAGAGTGGGAATATTTCTAGAGGCAAATGTCGCTGAGCCTGTGGTGTTCTGCTGTGAGGCTGTGTGTTGTGCGAGCGGTAGTGGAGCGGTGAGCGCGCTGCGCTACAAACCTGGCAACCAGAGTTCGATTCTCCCGCTCACGGCCAACATCGGTGACGATTATTTGAACTGGTCCTGGGCTTCCCTTAGGTCGACTCAGCCTCAAATGAGTACCTGGTACAGTGCGTAAAAACATCTCCACTGGGGAGACAAAGGTGGTCGGGCGTGGTGCTGGCCACCGACACCCTCGTGAGCCATTCTGGCCATCGTAGGTGCGCGCTAACAGCACTTGCCCCAACAGTCTGTAAAGGCTACACGGGGGATCTTTGTGGGTCTCTGCCAGTGTGGGTCTTCATGGGATTCTATAGGTCGGTGTTCATGGGTTGTTTGCGCGGTCTTTTTTGTTATACGGGAATAGTGGGCATTTATATTTTATGCAGAGGCAGTTGGTCATAGGCCGAGCAGAAAAAGGTACAGAGTGGAACACATTAAGGGAACTACGTTACCAGCTCCGGGGGGGGGGGGGGGGGGGGGGGGGGGGGTACGGCGATCGGTCCGGTGGGTGCCCAATATTTGATTTGTCTAGCACGGTCGCACCCCGGGGATGTTTATACATCGCGGTTCCCCGCCAAAGCACTCTGGTTACGCCAATGGGTGAAGTTGACGTGGGGCAGGGAGCCGGCAGCACGAACCCCCCCCACCCAAGCCCCTTGTCCCCCCACCCACCCACCCCCCTTGTCCCCCCACCCACCCACCCCCCTTGTCCCCCCACCCACCCACCCCCCTTGTCCCCCCACCCACCCACCCCCCTTGTCCCCCCACCCACCACCCCCCTTGTCCCCCCACCACCCCCCTTGTCCCCCCACCCACCCACCCACCCCCCCCCTTGTCCCCCCACCCACCCATCCCCCTTGTCCCCCACCCACCCATCCCCCTTGTCCCCCCACCCACCCACCCCCCTTGTCCCCCGACCCACCCACCCCCCTTGTCCCCTCACCCACCCATCCCCCTTGTCCCCCCACCCACCCCCCTTGTCTCCCCACCCACCCACCCCCCTTGTCCCCCCACCAACCCACCCTCCCCCCTTGTCCCCCCACTTACCCCCCTTGTCACCCCACCCACCCACCACCCTTGTCACCCCACCCACCCACCCACCTTGTCACCCCACCCACCCCCCTTGTCACCCCACCCACCCCCCCTTGTCCCCCCACCCCCCTACCCACCCACCCCCCTTGTCCCCCCAGCCCGCCCGCTCCTCCGGAAGAATCTTCCGCCCATTTTTAATCGCCGCTGCCTCCCAACTCGCCCCCCCCCCCTCTTCCTCTTCCGGAAGAGGAAGATAGAGAGAGAGAGGGGGCGACCTGGGAACCCGGTGTCTCTCGTCCGTGGCGTCTGCGGTCGCTCTCCCTAGACGGCACTACGCCTCCCCCCGCCCCAACCCCGTCTCGCCGCAGGCACAGGCCCGGCGGTAGCTCCCCGGTGCCCGGCGCCCGGCGGGAGGCCGCCACCTCCACGCAGCAACGCGGGGGTTTGGCGCTTGCCGGGGGTAGGCCGCACTCCCGACGCGCCTCTGGCCTAGGCCGCCTGCCGGGGTCCGAGCGCTGTCTCCCCGCGGGCGCGTATGGCAAGCAGGGCCCCTTCTCCGCCGCCCGTCCCGAGGCCAGTGTAAGAATGTAGCGCTTTTCTTTTTGTTAAATGATTAATAACTATTGTTCATTGTTATTCTTAGGGTTTTTTTCGGTGAAGTCACGTAGGTAAATTTTTTTAAAATTAATCAAGTAACATATATTAATTTATTTATTTTTACCTACGTGACTTTACCGAAAAAACCCTAAGAATATGAATCCTTGCAGTCACGAAAGCTTCAAATCTAGAATTGTGTATTGTTGTTGGTGTTTGTGTGCGGTTACACGTGTGTTCACACAGACAAATCGCCACCACCATCTGTGTCACCATCACGACAGTTTTATCACCGTTCCAACGTCAGTTTCAACGTCGTTACCTCACCACTCTCATCGTCGCCACCATGGTGTTGATCGTCAAACTGACATAAGTATAACCAGTAAAAACAAAGTTTTTCACTATAAATCCTTTATATGCGTGGCGGCTTGAGTCCTCTCGTCCTCTGGCTTGAGATGGCTGCCACCTATGGGTCAGATGATTGTCTGCAGTATTAAACAATTGGTAATTAAATATTTAATTTGTTTTCCCTAAACAGTGTAAAATTTTGGAATTTTTTTTTCACGAACATTAATTGTCTCGCACAACGAGTCTGTGTGCAAAATGTCAGCTCGATTGGATCACGGGAAGTGGGTTAAAAAACGACCGAAAGATTTGCACGGTCGTAAGCAAGCAAGCACGCAAGCAAGCGAACTTAATATAAAGGATTTAAAAAGGGGCCGTCTTGTGTGGTTTCCAAGTTTGCGGCACTGCTCCTGCTGTGACTGCCGGCAATAGAGCCTCCCCTGTGTCTTGCTGCGAGATGAACCGGCGCACACGAACAGCGCCGTGGTGGGTTCCGCCACTGAAAAAGCCGTCGAGAGTTAAACAAACTAAAAACTAAAAAGAATATGAATCCTTGCAGTCACGAAAGCTTCAAATCTAGAATTAAAAAAAGGTGGTCAGGATTGGAGGTAGGGTTGAGGCAAGTGCAAGCACGAATACTCGTGGGTGGTAATATTCGTGGGTGGTTGGAAATAGTTGTTAAGCACAACTGTCAACCGCTTATCAGCGCCCTAGCTTATTACAGACCAATGCAGATCTTACTGGTCACACCGTGCCCCTTATACACATCAACGTTCATCCTACAAAAGTCCCATCACAAGGGATAAACACAAACAAATAGACAATCACCACTCGTACACTAACCACTAGTACACTCACCACTAGTACACTCACCACTAGTACACTCACCACTAGTTCACTCACCACTAGTACACTCACCACGACATACCTGTCAACCCCTTATCAGTGCCTATCTTATTACAGACCAATGCAGACCTGACTGGTCACCCCGTGCCCCTTATACATCTCAACGTTCATCTTACAAAGGTCCCATCACAAGGGAGAAATACAAACGAATAGACACTCACCACCAGTACACTCACCACTAGTACACTCACCACTTGCATACTCACCACTGGTTCACTCACCACTAGTACACTCACCACGACATACCTGTCAACCCCTTATCAGTGCCTATCTTATTACAGACCAATGCAGACCTGACTGGCCACCCCGTGCCCCTTGTACATCTCAACGTTCATCCTACAAAGGTCCCATCACAAAGGAGAAACACAAACGAATAGACAATCACCACCAGTACACTCACCACTAGTACACTCACCACGACATACCTGTCAACCCCTTATCAGTGCCTATCTTATTAAAGACCAATGCAGACCTGACTGGTCACCCCGTGCCCCTTATACATCTCAACGTTCATCTTACAAAGGTCCCATCACAAGGGAGAAACACAAACGAATAGACAATCACCACTAGTACACTCACCACTAGTACACTCACCACTTGCATACTCACCACTGTATACTCGCCACTAGTTCACTCACCACTAGTACACTCACCACGACACTCACCACTACACTCACCACTACATACCTGTCAACCCCTTATCAGTGCCTACCTTATTACAGACCGATTCAGACATTACTGGTCACCCCGTGCCCTTATAAACATCAACGTTCATTCTACAAAGTCCCATCACAAGGGAGAAACATAAACAATAAGACTAAAACACTTTTTTCCCCCGCTATTGAAACGGATGTGCACCGTATGGACCTGAAGATTAAATTTCCCTGTACAAGTATACGGAGTAAACCGTATGGGTTGACAGGTATGCTTTAGAGTTAGGGATATGGTTAGTATGAGTGTCGTTGGCTCGTTGATTGGGGTTGGCAGAATACCTTGTTCCTCATGGCTGGTTGTCTGTTTCGGTGGTTGGTTTCGTCTTTGAGGGTGCACCTCCGTGTTTGCGGTCTTTGTTGTGTGATGCTGATGGTAATGCTCGTAAACGTGGGGCATTTCACAATGTGCGCTTGATCCCTTACAGCAGTGGTTCTTAACTTGGGGTGCATCACATCACACCCCTTGGGGTGGGAGATGTGGCCAAATTTTTTGAGAATGTAAATCATCAAAACAGTAAGTACAACTACTTTGTTTCTTCAAACCCTAGGGGCCGTCCATAAATGACGTCACGCGATTTTGGACGATTTTTGACTCCCCCCTCCCCCCCCCAAAAAAAATGAAACATGCTTCAAATCGCTTTAAACTATTATCATTGTAGTGCGTATTTAATGTGGCGCTGCACTCTGATGTTGTAGGAGCACAAACATTTATTAAAAGTCTATTTAATCAAGTAGAACGTGTTGTCTATATTTATATAAAGTTGCGCATTTTGATGTGACGTCACATTTCTCAACCCCCCTCCATCGTCACACATCATCACAAATGTCTGCCCCCCCCCAGGTGCGTGACGTCATTTATGGACGGCCCCCTATGTATTTATTAACTTTTTGTTACGATTGAGAACCAAAGGGGGGTGCAAGGCTCCTGCAGTAAAGGTTAAGCCCCGCTACCATACAGTGTTTCACAGTCCCAGTTTTTCCCATTACACTTCCCACGCACAGGACCAAGCGCCCGGCTCCGAGTGAAGCGTCCTCGGATGGAGGCTTCAACTCACTGTGTGGGCCGTCACGTGCCAAGCAGCTGCGCGGAGGCTCAGATCTGTACAACGCCAAACGCGCTGGGCCCTACCTCCTGGGTACGTTCACTCCTTGCCTCCCTTCCCTCAGAATCAGAATATTTATACTGGAGGAATCCGATGAGCTATAAAGCTGTTTTTCACAGATGCCCAGTCAGGGCGGGTACGAATGTTACAACAACAAACAATGCAAAAACACGATAGGAGTGCAAAATACAAGGAAGGTAAGCAAATCATCCAAACATAAAACTAAACCCTCCTTCCCTCTCTGCCGCCCTGGCTATTCTACTACCACTTGGATGTCTTGCTTCTTCTGTTTTTGTCTTCACTTTTTTAATTCTAGTTAAATTCCAAAAGGTTTGTCAATCCTGCTGGTGAATGAAGGCTTCAACCACGCCTTGGCAGTCATCGAAGTTGTTGGCCATACTTATACCTCTGGCCAGTGCACGTTTATGAAGGCAGGGGGCCCAGAAATGGCTCAGGTGAAACTCGCCACTCGTGTTAGCCGTGCCCGTTAATTTTTGTGCAGTCATTGGTGTCGGGGATGAGGCCATCAACTCTCTCACCACACTTGAGAACCACATCTTAATCACCCGAAAATGAGCCCAGCATCTCAGAGGTTCCAATATCAGAGCTGTCGGCTGTTTCTGCATTTTAGCGTGAAACTGATATTCTGTCTCCCATGCTAGGTCCCCGTCTGGGTAGTTCCCCCGTCCCCAGCATCGTGCAGTGTCTGGCGAGGAAGGAGGGAACGGATGACTTCTACCAGCTCAAGGTGAACACCGGATGCACCGGGCTCGTGTGTCTTCGTGGTCACTCACTGTGGATGCGAGTCTACGTGGACATCAAGCCAACACTACCACCAACACAACCCTCTAAACACTGGCTGCACCTTATTACTACTACAACCTGATAACATGACCACATCCTAACAACTTAATTACACTGTCATTTAACACACACTATGACCACCAATGCTACTACACCCTGTCACTACTGCTTCTGCACCCTTGTAAAAACAACATGTCCCTGCTATACATGCCTGGCTGCACATGCCCCATGCTGCACCTATCCCCGTTACGCTGTGCTGTGTGGTTGTGTGTGTGTGTGGTCGGGCCCCAGATCCTGACGCTCAGGGAGGATGGGGAGTGCGTGCAGGAGAGCCAAGAGGAGCGGCAGGGGAAGATGCTGCTACACACCGAATACTCCCTGCTATCTCTGCTGCATGCGCAGGATGGGGTCGTGCACCACCACGGCCTCTTCCAGGTAGCAACCGACACACTCCCGCCACCATTGCAGAGCCACCACCACCACCTCTACTGCCACGCCACTGCCACCATGCCACCGCTACCGCAGCGGCATTGCCAACACCATCATGACCACCACCCCACTATCATGACCATTACCACCAACATCTCCACCACCACGCCACTGCTACCATTCCACTACCACCGCCACCAAAGTGGCATCACCACTACCATCGTTATCACCACCACCACGCTACTACCATGACCACCACCATTATCGCAACCGCTAACCATTTTCAAACAATTGTGCAAATCAAACAATTGTACAAATCGGTAAACTAGAACCACGCGTGTGGGTCACAGGATAGCGCGCTGCGCTATGAACTCGGCGACCCAAGTTCAATTCCCTCTCACGGCAAATACCAGTGACAATTATCTGAACCAGTCCTGGGTCTCCCCTAGGTCAACTCGGCCTCAAATGAGCACCTGGTGCAGTGTGTAAAAACATTTCCACAAAGGAAGCTGTCCGTGGTGCTGGCCATCCGCCCCTGGGTGCTGGCCACCCGCCCCCTCGTTTGCCTTGCCGGCCTTCATAGGTACTTGCTGACAGTACTTGTCCCAAAACTCTGTTTAGTCTATACAGGGGACCTTTGTCTTGTGTTATAGGACCGGGCGGTGGAGGCGGTTGAAGAGGTCCGGCGTGGTGGTGCCGGTGGCGGCAGTGGCAGCGCGGCGCGGCGTCGCATCGTGCTGGTGCTGGACTGCCTGTGCACGCACGACTTCAGCGAGCGCACGGCTGACCTCATGAACCTGCAGCACTACGTGATCCGCGAGAAGCGCCTCTCCGAGAAGGAGACCATTGTCATCTTTGCCGACGTCGTCCGCGTCGTCGAGAGCCTCCACGCGGTTGAGTTGCCGGCGTGCCCGCTCGCATGCTCGCCCGCTCGATCGACAACTCGCCCGCTCGATCGACAACTCGCCCGAGCACTCAATTCGTTGCCCTGCTCGCTCAATCGCTAGCCCGCTCAATCAATAGCCCGCTCGCTCAGTCGCTCGCTCAATCGGTTACCCATTCGCTCGCTCAATTGCTCACTTGCTACTTAGTTCGCTCACTCACTGGCTCGACCACTCGTATACACGTGCAGTATTTTCATTGGTTAAGTTGTATATAGTGAATAATATACTGTATATAATATTTCACACTGAAATTAAGTCCTAGCTACTTTTTTTGTCACGCACATGGTGCCGATCGGCGGACTGGTACAGCCTTTGAAGCGGTTTTGCCGGTTTCACCGGATCGGCCAAAGACCGCCAGATAATGTTGGAAGCCGGATAATCGCTCGCCAGATAATCGACGATCAACTGTACTTCCACAGTATACATGTCCACGTGCGATTAAAGGCGCAGCCCTGCAATTACACGCTCACCATACTGCTGTCAGAAGGACCTCCGCTGGAAGCAGCTCTTAAAGCGCCCCCCCGGAGAATCATTTAGCCCCCCTCTTTGACGCCACTACAGCATTAAGAGAGCGCTGCGTGCTGGCCGCCGTTGCGACGTCGCGATCGCTCATTGCAGCGTCTTCTCCACTCCGCAGAAAAACATCGTGCACAGGGACCTGAAGCTCGGCAACATGGTGCTGAACAAGCGGTGGGTCCCGCAGTCACGCACTCCTCCTGCCGCCCCGCCGCGTACAGAAGCGCCGATTCGCCAAAGTGAAGTCCGTACTCGGCAGCGCAAGCTGCGATCGCGCGACCACCCGTCAGATCGGTCCTCCCAATGTGCCTCGCATGCCGTGCGGCCGACGTTCTGGTTGGTTCCGAAGGGTAGCGCCTTCCCCGGGATGATGACGCTCTTGCCTGTGCCTGTGGTGAGAAGTAGTGTACCGGCTATCGCGCTGCACTTCGAACCTGGCTACCCTAGTTCGATTCTTGCTCGCGGCCACCAACACCAGTGACCAATATTGGAACCACTCTTGGGCCTCGCCTAGGTCGACTCGGCCTCAAATGAGTACCTCGTGCGATGTGTATACATCTCCACTCGGGAGACAAAGGCGGCGGGCTTGGTGCTGGCCACCCACACCCTCGTGTGGTGTGCCGGCCTTCATAGGTGCTACTCGCTAACAGCACTTGTCCCAACAGCTTGTTAAGGCTACACGGGGGGGGGGGGATCTTTGCCTTTGTTCATGTGTCCAGCACTCACCGCATCACCATCACCAACTTCTGCCTGGGCAAGCACCTGGTGAGCGAGGGCGACCTGCTGAAGGACCAGAGGGGCAGCCCGGCCTACATCAGCCCCGACGTGCTGAGCGGTGCGTGCTGAGCTCCCCTCCCCCCGCCCCTTCCACCACCGTCTCGTTGTTTGGTCACACCGGTGGCCGGGGTGTGGCAGTACAGCAAGTGGATTGATCTACATCCAGTGCCGGATTATCCTAGTAGCAAAAGTAGCATACGCTACGGGCCCCGCACTTTCAAGGGCCCCGCGCTAAATGCTTTCAAGATATCAATTGCGGTTCAGTGATTCTGCACTTGCTCAATTACTATAGTACTATACCGCCTTCAACTTTTATGAACGACTGGGCGTTTAAGGTTAGCGCGATTTGTCGTATTATCTGGCTGTATAGCAAATGAAACAATACAATTACTTTACTATGCAAGGTAAAAATTTGGGTCTGAATATTTACGTGTTTTTTTTTATTTAGGGCCCCTTAATGACATATACTACAGGCCCCGCACTAGCTTAGTCCGGCACTGTCTCCATCTGTGCAGGGATTAAGCGATACCCCCCCCCACCACCACCACCCTTCTCGCCCATGTGCCTATTCTCCGGGTACTCGGGTTTTAGTATCAAACACTTACAATTTTGATTTAAAACTTTCGTGACTGCAAGAATTGATATTCTTTGGTTCTTTTGGTAAAGTCACGTAGATAGAAAATAATAAAATAAAATAATAAAAAATTATAGACGGACACCATCCAGGCATCCACTTTTGTTTTTTATTTAAAAAATATATATATTATTTTCTATCTACATGACTTTACCGAAAGAACCAAAGAGTATAAAACACTTGTTAATGGAATTTGCCAAACATCCAAATATAGGGCCAGAAGAGCTTTGGAAAATTTTCCCGGTGGTTCTGACTGCACTTTTCGCCACCTTTAGTTCCATTCAACTGCAAATGAGTACCACTGCTGAGACAAAGGTGGTCAGGCTCGGTGATGGCTACCCACCCCCTCGTGTGCCGTGCCGCCCTTCCTAGGTGCTCGCTAACTGTAATTGCTCCAAGTTTACACGACGGTTGTCTTTTTGTCGTACCGTACAATGCCAATCGTACTAATCGGAGGTGCGGGGGAAGGACAACAAACTAAACACAGAAATCAGTTTTGTGTGTGCATTTGTGTGTCTGTGGTGTACGCAAGCGTATGCATCTGCAGTGTGTGGAATGTGTTTTGATGGTGAGTGCGTGAATCAGCATTGTGTGTGTCGGTGAATGTGTGGGTGTGGAAAGCACCGGTGTAGTTGTTAGCCCTGCGACCCGAGCTCTGTTTAGTCCCCACGGCGGGGGGAGCAGTGGGGGGGGGGGCGATCTTCGCCTTTTGTAGCAAAAACAACTCAACGGTAACATTGTGTGGCCTTGAAGTGAAGAATACATAATGGTCCCTCGGGGGCCATTGCTTGAAATGTCCTTTGAAGGCCACACACGATGCTCGTGACGAACGCGTTGAACTGTTGTCGTTGACTTGCTTGTTCACCACTGCCAACGCAGCAGCAGCAGCAGCATCGGCAGATAATGAGTTTTTTTTTTTTTTTTTGCGTGTGGTTGCAAGCCCGGCCCGTGTTTGTTGCTCCGTTCTATTTTACACAGTTGCTGAGCATGGTCCCAAAGGCCCAAAATATCAGGGGACCCGCAACAAACAGCACTCGTATCAAAGTTGTAATCGATAACAGTGTTAACGCGTGTTCTTGAATTGAGCAAGGTTGTTTTAAGGCGGGAGGAAACGAGGCGACGATGGGAGGAGGGAATTCCAGAGTGAAGCGGTGCGAGGGAAGAAACAGAAAGAGGAGTGGGTGGATGTGTTGTGGTCAGAGGTCGCAATCGGGTACCCAATACCCTACCCGATACCCGGCTACCCGTACCCATTAGTCACTGGTGAGTCACCGTTTGTCACTCATTTCCCAACGTCTTGTCTCTTCTCACAATTCAAGTTCCTAGAATCAACCCACCCGCGCCTGCAACATGGCTTCATCCCAGAGGTCGCAATCGGGTACCCGTACCCTACCCGATACCCGGCCGGGTACGGGTAGCCAGGTATCGGGTAGGGTACGGGTACGGGTACCCGTTTGCGACCCTGGTGCAGCCGGGTACGGGTATGGGTAAGGAATCAAAACCCGTTTGCGACCTCTGGTTGTGGTGTTCTAACACAGTGTGGTGAGTGGTTAAGTGTGTTGTGGTGGCGCTTGAACACAGAAGTTCATGGGAACAGTAACCATGGTAGTAGCAGCGATAGACCAGGAGGCGACTGACCACCGGCGAGCGAGCCAACGGAGTAAATCCGTGAGTGCCGCGTCACACAGAATTCCTCTGCGTCGCAGCAACGAGGGTGGGAAACGGGTGGTGCACACCGGACGCGAGACTCCGCCGTTGCAGCGTGGGCCGGATCTGTGCCCCTCGCGTGCAGGTCGGCCGTACCTGGGCAAGCCGAGCGACATGTGGGCACTCGGCGTGGTACTCTTCACGATGCTCTACGGCCAGTTCCCCTTCTACGACTCCGTTCCACAGGAGCTCTTCCGCAAGATCAAGGCTGCCGAGTACACCATCCCCGAGTGAGTGCCATCCTATCGTGGCAAACTGACACAAGTACACCATCCCCGAGTGAGTGCCATCCTATCGTGGCAAACTGACACAAGTACACCATCCCCGAGTGAGTGCCATCCTATCCTGGCAAACTGACACAAGTACACCATCCCTGAGTGAGTGCCATCCTATCCTGGCAGACTGACACAAGTACACCATCCCTGAGTGAATGGCATCCTAGCCTGGAACACCATCCCAAGTACTCCATCCATGACTGAATGGCAGCCTTGCCTACCACACCACTCCAAGTACATAATTCCCAAGCGAGTGTCTCCACACCCACCCACGACTCGCATAGAGAGACCCATAGATTCACGCATTACCACCCATAGATTCACGCAGAGACAGTAATTCCATCTCTGAGAATGAACAACATGGGTTTGATCGTCATGCAATGAACAGCAGGATGGGTGGGAAAGTGCTGCCCCTCTGCTTTGTGGACCGGGTGTTACTTGGAGTGCTGCCACACATGCGGGGTGTGCGATAGTGACGCCGTACTGTGTGCGGTGCTGTGCGGCGGGGTGCAGCTGCAACGGTGTTTCGGAAAACACGGTGTCGCTCATCAAGAAGCTGCTGGTGCTTGACCCCCAGCGGAGGTTGAGCGCGCGAGACGTCCTGGACTCGCTCCACTCCATCATCTTCGCCTGGTGCCGCCCCCGCTTGCACCACGCAGACCACCACCGTCACCACCAACACCACCAACACCACCAACACCACCAACACCACCAACACCACCAACACCACCAGCACCACCACCAACACTACCAACACCACCAGCACCACCAACACCACCAACACCACCAGCACCACCAACACCACCAACACCACCAGCACCACCAACACCACCAGCACCACCAACACCACCAGCACCACCAACACCACCGCCAGCGACACCACCACCAACACCACCAACACCACCAGCACCACAAGCACCACCAGCACCACCAACACCACCAACACCACCAGCACCACCAACACCACCGCCAGCGACACCACCGCCATCACCACCACTGCCACTACCACCAACATCGCCACCAACACCATCGCCACTGACATCAACAACAACACTAACACCACCGGCGTTACCACCAACACTGTCACCATCGCCATGGAAACCAAAACAACACGACGCCATCACCACTAACTCCATTGCCATCGCCATCGTCGGTGGTGGTGGTGTCGTATCAGGAGTGGTGGTGTTGGCGGTTCTGTTGGCCTTGGCGCTCATCCGTGCGTGTCTCTGTCTCTGCGCGTGCCGCCCCCTTGCCAGGCAGTCCATGTCGTCGCTGGCGGGGCCCCTGCAACTCGTGCCGGACATCGATGAGCAGGAGGCCCGCTTGGCAGACACTGCCGTGGAGGTGAGGGCCACCCGCGTGTGAACGTGTGTGTGCGTGCATCGGCACGCGCATGTTTGTGTACGTCAAGGACGTTAGTCTTGCTGTAGCGCGATGATCTTATAGCAGGTCGCACCGTCGAGGTTCTACTTATGGAAGAAGACAACAGATTACGGAGAGCAAAGGGGTGTTTTGCATCCATGCTAAAATCAACCAAACCACCCTGAGCGCTGCCAAACAGAACCGGGCCTAGACTTGACATGGCCTCATCCCCACCCGCACCCTCTTTGCCTCCCCCCCCCCCGATCCAGGTGCGCCCGGAGGAGGAGCTCTGCCAGTACGAGTTCGAGTCGGTCATGCGGCAGCAGCTGCTGCGAGCCGAGGAGGGCCTGGCAGGGAAGCCCCCCCGCGCGCTGGGGGGGGGGCCCCGGCGGCCCCCCTCGGGGCTGCCCGTGGTGCGGCGCGTGGGCCAGGACGCCCAGCCGCTCACCGCCCACGAGCTGCTGTCGCAGCCCAACCTGCTGCTGTGAGGGCCGACGGCGGCCTTTCTCTAACCACCGCCCCCGGACGCCGGGGCCGGGGGGCGGCGCTAGGCGGCCGCTTCTGCCCCCGGTGCGGGTGCCCTTCGCTTTCCGGTCGGGCCGGGAACGCGAACCGGAGCTGGCGGAGGAGTCGCGGTGGCACGGCCCTTGTTTCCGGCGAGACGTCGGCGGACGTCAAGGGCGCAAGCTGATGAGCGAATGGCGGCAAGAGGCATGAAGACCGCTTCTCGGCAGAGCTTGAGACCCGGCCGAGGTGGCGGTGTTGCAGCAGCAGCAGCAGCAGCAGCAGGAGCTTGGAGGTTGCCTCCTACGGAGAGCCGCACCGAGAATGTGACTGCTGCTCCTCCTGCTCCTCGCGCTTATTCGTGATCGTCAGCGAGCCGAGTGGCGGCGCTCGCTCCTTGCTTCTGTCAGACGATGCTGGGAAGAGCCGTGGGGCAGCTCTACGGTGACATGGACGACGACGACGACGATGATGAAGTTCATGTTTTTATGTGAATTCCCAGCTCACAGATGAACTGTCGCGCGCCGCGTGGGGTTGAGGAATTTCTCTCGGGCCGGGGACTAACGTGCGGAAGTGGACACCGCCGGCTTTGTCTCCACAACCGCACCTGCCCCCTCCCCCCCGCGTCGCGCACACGCTGCGCTTACGACCGCTGTCGTCGTCCGCCACGCGTGTGAGAACGGTGTCGCTTGCACCGGCTCGCTCGGCGCATCCGGCATCTGCTCCCCGGTAGGGGGGAGCGGGGGCGGGGAGATGTGGGGGCAGGGGGGGGGTCCGGAGTTTGTGACGAGCGCCGCTGGCGCCAGACTTGACACCGTGCCGTGCCTGCGCGTGCGTCCCGCGCGTGCGTCTCTCTCCGTGCGTTGTTCAGCACGATGTCTGACGTTTATCACCACGTGCCGGAATCTTCTTCCTCTCTTTTTCTGAAGACGTCAGCAGTGCCGGCGCTGCTGAGGGGGACCTGGGTTCGAGCCCTCGGTGGGTCCGAGTGTCTCTCGCAGACGGTTCACAGTGGCCGTGCGTGAGACGCTCACCCAGCAGCACTTAACGTTCGAACCCAGGGCTTGAGTTTCTGTCATGAGATTCATAATGGCCGTGTCGGAGACACCGAGCCAGCACCGATGAGATCCCAGGGTCCGAGCCCTGGGTCATGACCGTCTCTCTCGGAGAGAGAGTTCATAATGGGCGCGTCATTTCCTACACGAGGAGCTCCCGGCACGCGGAGCGGAACTTGGCACAGCGTGCGGCAGCGCCGCCCCAGAGCGTCGCCATCACCATCACCACCGCCGCGTGTTTTCATGAAAGACGTCATTCCGTGCGGCCGTGTGTGCGAGACGTCCCAGAGGAGGGGTTCCAGTTTGAACCGGGGAGGATCCGGGTGGATCTGTGGGGCGGGGATCGAGGTACGGGCGGGAGAGGGTGGCTGGAGCCAAGTAAACTTGGGGGGGGAGGGGGTCCCAGGTAGAGCTGTGGGGCTCTCTACCGCCAAGATGCAGGTGTCTACTGAATGTGGGTTGTATAGACGGGGGGGGGGGGGGGGGGGGCCTTGTCCATGGAGTGGACAGCCTGGGTTCTGCGTTGGAGGTTGCCGGGGTGAGTGGCCGGGTGAGACATGGAGCTGGCTTTCCATGAGGCTCTCCTGGGTAACCAAGCGGAGTGATGAGTGGGGGTCCATCACCTCATTGCCGCATGGTGCTGTTTGCTTAATAGGAGTAGAATCGCGGTAATTGAAAAGCCCACTTTGCTTCGGTGCCCTTCCACGCGTACGGCAATGAAGTATTGATACTCTTGTCGGGTTAATTAGCGGTTGGCGCACCACGCCCCGAACCCGGCGACCCGCGTTCGACTCCTGGCCACGGACAACATCGGCGGTGAGCCTTGTTGCTGCGAAGCGGTGCCGGATGTCCCCCACTCCGGCCGACTGCCCCCCCCCCCCCCCCGCTGACCAGCGCGGTGAAGTATGGTTGAAACAACACCCGTGACTTGACGCGGCTCGGGGGAGACGTTGATCCAGTCGTGGATTGATGAAGGGTTGTAAATTATTCTGAATAAACGAACGATAAACCAAATGCGAGTTTAAAGAAAATCACGAATGCGTTTGATGAAACGAGTTGGGGCATTTACACGTGGACCGTGCCCCCCTATAGGGGGGCTCCAGCCTTCCAGTGGAGGGGGCCCCCTTCTGCCAGCAGTGGCGTGAGCGTGCAACTGCAGGGTCGCACTTTTGCCTCTTGCTGATCGCTTCATGATTTCTGTGCACCGAAGAAGGGCCGTCGGCCGATTATTTATTTTTCCCATTTCGGCCGCACGGTGATATTGACGAACGTTCTGTGTGGGGGGCGGCTCGGGACACGTCGGTGGTCACGAGCGGCTGCTGGCGGGTGACGAGGTGATGCCGCTGTGACGAGGTGATGCCGCTGTGACGAGGTGAGGTCGCGCGGGGCTGGGCTCGCGGCCGGAGAGATGGAGTCAAGAGATTCCATCGCGGAGCCGTCTCGCCGCCAGTGAAGGAGTGTGTGAATGAAGGAGTGGTTTAGTGAATGAGTGGGTCAATGAATGAATGAGTGGGTCGATGAATGCCCCGGCCGGAGTATCAGCCTGCGCGGATGACCCCAGGGATCGTGACGGAGGGCGTCATCCTTGACGCCGAGGCAGCCGCTGCGGGTGACGGACTCTGTCCTCTGGGCTTTCCTCCCGATCCTCACCACCACCCTACTGCACCACCTCGACCCTATCCACCTGCACCACCCCCTGCTCCACCTGCTCCACCAAATCTACCCCATGATCCTGCACCACCACCTGCTCCACCAAATCTACCCCATCCACCTGCACCACCCCCTGCTCCACCTGCTCCACCAAATCAACTCCATGCTCCTGCTCCACCACCACCCTCTCCACCTCGTGCTTCTTGTTCTCACGCCCCACCTCTCTCAAGCGGCTTTCAATGCGAGATCACCAATGGCCGTCCCCTGATTGGGGGCTTTGGCGGTGGTGAGAGGGGGGCAGCTAAAGGGGATCGACGAGAGAAGGGGGGGGGCGGTGGTGTGCGGGCGATAAGGGGTTTGCAATGGGAGTGCACGGGACCGTATTCTGTCGACGACAGGACGCTCAGGAAAGTGAGACGCAGCCGGGGGGGGTGAACGTCGAGCTCGTTGCGAAGTGTCACGTGGACTTCGCGCTCACCACCCCCCCTCCCAATCACCACAGCCCCCCCCCCATCACCCCCTCTCATCACAGCCTCCCCTTCCCCAAGCCGCCCCACCAAGCACGTGGCTGATGAATGCGCGCCTATTACCATCACTGCGGGACTTAATTATTCACCAGAAGGAGGTGCCACTCCCCTGCATGGCAGCCCCCCCACTTTAATTAATGAACCCCCCCCCTCGTCCCCCCCTCCCGCTGCTGGGTAATTAATGATTCCGCCCTCCCCCCCCCCGTGTCCAGAGCAGACGTGGCCGTGTGCGAAATCTGGAACGACGAAGAAACGTGAGATGAGGACTGGATGAAAACGATGCACGCTCCATGCAGAGATGCGTGCAAACGAAGTGCGCTCGCTGCAAGCTCACCGCACCCACCACTCGGCGTTTCACTCACCACGCCGTCGCTCGCACCCATCGCTCACTTCATGGCTTATCTCAACTCTAGATTTGAAGCTTTCGTGACTGCAAGGATTCATACTCGTAGGTTTTTTCGGTAAAGTCACGTAGGTAAAAAATTTAATAAAAAAATTAATAAAAGTAATAGAAATAAAATATTATTGTATAATATTACTATTTTATTTATAATTGTATTTTAATATTATTTTATTTATAATTTAATTTATAAAATAATATTATTGTATAATATTATTTTATTTCTATTATTACTTTTAGTATTTTTTTTATTTTATTGTTTTACCTACGTGACTTTACCGAAAAAAACCTAAGAGTATTTATCTCAACTCTTAGATGTTAGTCCTGGTTCAGGGCAGAATTATACAAACACACTTGATTTTTTGCGCGTGTGTGCGCGCTTATCTCATTTGAATAAATCATCTTGATTTACCTCGGGGGGGAGGGAATCTCGGAGGCTTGCCAGCAGCGATGACCATGGCTCGCTGCTGCTGCTGCTGCTGCCCCGCTGAGTTGACTCGCCCGCTCTGCTGCAGCGCCATCTCCTGGTCACGTGCGGGAGTTTCACGAGTCTCGACGCGGTCCACCAACCCTTACCCCCCCCCCCCCCCCGCGTGCCTTCTGCACGTGGAGAGGAGGGGGGGGGGTCTCCGCGGGACCACGTGATCGGTCACGCGGTCCCAAATCCGCTGCGTCGGAGACATTTTTAATGAGCTACCGCCCCCCCCCAACCACCTCACAAACACAAAGATGTCCCGTGTAGCCTTTACCAGACTATTGGGGCAAGTGCTGTGTTGGCGAGCACCTGTGAAGGCTGGCACGGCACACGAGGGGGTGGGTTGGTGGCCAGCATCACGCCCAGGCGGGGCTCCCCTTTGTCTTGCCAGCGCTGATGTTTGTTCATCTGCACCAGGTACTCATTTGAGGCTGAGTCGACCTAGGGGTGGCCCGGGACCGCTTCAGATAATCGTCACAGATGTTTGTTGGCAGTGAGCGGGAATCGAACTCGGGTCGCCGGGTTCGTAGCGCAGTGCGCTGATCACTGCGCCACCGCTCCTCTCGCATTCAGGCAAAAGAAGACAAAGATCCCCCGCGTAGCCTTAACAGACTGTTGGGGCAAGTGCTGTTAGCGAGCACCCTATGAATGCCGGCACGACACATAGGGTGGGTGGCCAGCACCACGCTCGGCCGCCTTTGTCTCCCGAGTGGTGATGTTTACGACACATCGCACCAGGTACTCATTTGAGGCCGAGTCGACCTAGGTGAGGCCCAAAACTGGCTCAGATAATCGTCACCGGCGTTGGTGGCCGTGAGCGGGAATCGAACTCGGGTTACCAGGTTTGTAGCGCAGCGCGCTAACCGCTACACTACCGCTCCCCGAATACATACGCGTCTGGACACACACAATTATATATAGAGACAAATATAATTACGCAGGCTCCCCCGCTCCTCCCCCGCCCCTCCCCCCAACCCCTTCCCCAACCCCTCACTACCCTGCATCCGCCCAATGCAGAACCGAGTCAGCACCTTTATAATTAAATGTCCAGCAACCCCTCCCCACACCCCCCTCCTAACACTACCCCTCAACCCACCCCTAGTCTCCCCATACCCCTATCCCACTCCTCGTCTCCCCTCACCCCTATCCCACCCCTCGTCTCCCCAGACCCCTATCCCACCCCTAGTCTCCCCATACCCCTATCCCACCCCTAGTCTCCCCATACCCCTATCCCACCCCTAGTCTCCCCATACCCCTATCCCACCCCTAGTCTCCCCATACCCCTATCCCACCCCTAGTCTCCCCATACCCCTATCCCACCCCTAGTCTCCCCATACCCCTATCCCACCCCTAGTCTCCCCACACCCCTATCCCACCCCTAGTCTCCCCTCACCCCTATCCCACCCCTAGTCTCCCCATACCCCTATCACACCCCTAGTCTCCCCTCACCCCTATCCCACCCCTAGTCTCCCCATACCCCTATCTCACCCCTAGTCTCCCCATACCCCTATCCCACCCCTAGTCTCTCCATACCCCTATCCCACCCCTAGTCTCCCCTCACCCCTATCCCACCCCTAGTCTCCCCATACCCCTATCACACCCCTAGTCTCCCCTCACCCCTATCCCACCCCTAGTCTCCCCACACCCCTATCCTACCCCTAGTCTCCCCATACCCCTATCACACCCCTAGTCTCCCCTCACCCCTATCCCACCCCTAGTCTCCCCATACCCCTATCCCACCCCTAGTCTCCCCAGATCCCTATCCCACCCCCCAAGTCTCCCCATACCCCTATCCCACCCCTAGTCTCCCCTCACCCCTATCCCACCCCACACCCCTATCACACCCCTAGTCTCCCCATACCCCCATCAGACCCCTGTCCAAGCCCTGTTCTCTCCATACCCCTTATTCTACCCACAGCTCATGCTGTTGGGCTAATGGCTCCAAGCGCACGGTGCCAAAACTGCTCGCAGGAGGGAGAGGGGGGGGGGGGAAGAGACGCGAGCAGATGGGGCGGCGGCGGCGTCCCTGCCCCATCGTGCCAACTTGCCGCGTCTGATCTGCCCGGCGCTCCGCTCGTCGTTGCGGGTATTGCTCCGCAAGCCCCTCCGCTATTGCCGGAGGGCGGCTACCTCCAACCGCCCAGCAGCGTTCGGCAACGTGTTCCTAGCCTGGCACGGCCCAGTGGCGTCCTCCGCGAGCCTCCTCGTCCTCCACAGAGGCCGATCTTGGCGCCGCTGGTTACCAGTCGTCGTGTGTGCCGCATTTCTGCTCGTGTCCATGCTGCGCCCGTTTAGCCCCCTCTATTCGGCAAAAAACAGAAGCTGCTTGGGCATGCCGTGGCTCGGCATGTGGGTTACATGGCCCATGCAGCAGCCTCGCATGCTGGAGGAGCTCACTGTGTCCAGATCTCTCAAGGACTCTGTGAGCTCAAACAATCCAGTCTGGTATCACCCAGGATAGATCGTTGGCAGGCAAGCCTGAATGTTTCAAACCGGCTCAGATGTCTCCTCTAAAATGGTCCACGTTTCGCAAGCAATAGGGAAGGGAGGTCACAACTGTGGCCGAGAAAACCCGGAGCTTCGTGTTACGCAGCCGATGAAAATATAATCCGGCTTGACTTGATTCGGCGATGAGATATTTGCCGCCAAAATGGAGCTGGTCATAAGCACACTGCCCAGATATGGGAAACTCCTCCACTCTCTCCACAACTGCCCCGTCACTCATGGGGAGTTGGTGCGGGTAGAGTAATGCATGATTGGGGTTTTTGCTTTGTAGGTGCTGCTCGCTTACAGCACTTGCCCCAACAGACTGTTAAGGCTATGCGGGGGATCTTTGTCTTTTTTTGCCTGAATGCGAGAGGAGCGGTGGCGCAGAGATTAGCGCACTGCGCTACGAACCCGGCGACCCGAGTTTGATTTCCGCGCACGGCTAACAAACATCTGTGACGATTATCTGAACCGG